TGTGCCACTGCACTCCAGCCTGGGCGACAGAGGGAGACTCAAGAAAGAAAGAAACAGGAGGAAGGGAAGGGAAGGAGGAGGAGGGAAGGGGAGCAGAAGGAAAGGGAGGAAAGAAAGGGAAGGGGAGGGGAGGGGAGGAAAGAAAGGGAAGGGAAGGGGAGGAAGGAAGGAAGGAGGAAAGGAGGGAGGGAGGGAGGGAAGGAAGGAGGGAGGGAGGGAGGGAAGGAAGGGAGGGAGGGAGGGAGGGAAGGAAGGAGGGAGGGAGGGAGGGAGGGAAGGAAGGAAGGAGGAAAGGAGGGAGGGAGGGAGGGAAGGAAGGAGGGAGGGAGGGAGGGAGGGAAGGAAGGAAGGAGGAAAGGAGGGAGGGAGGGAGGGAAGGAAGGAAGGAGGGAGGGATCCCTTGCCTTGTTGCCTTGAGTCACGCAGAGCAAGGACTGGGGCTGTACAGCCTTGAATCTGCACTCCTCTCCCAGGCCATGCTGAGCTGGACACAAAAACATGGAGCAGAGAAGCAGAATGGGGGGAGGTAGTGTTTCCTTGGCCAGAGAAAGAGCTTTGCTTAGGGTGGGAGTGGACCTGGAAAAAGTGAGGGGTCCCCAGGGACAGAGCCTGGCAGCTGCAAAGCCTCCAGTGCTTTTTCTCAGATGGCAGGAGACCAGCCTCCACCCCTCCAAGCAGAAGCCTGTGGTGGAGGCTGACCAACTGGCCAGGTCCCTGAGGGCTGGGGAGCCGTGACTTGAGACTCCACCATCTGGCTGTTCGGCCAGGAAGCACAGCTTGGCAAGAGGCCCTGAGAGAGGATTCTGGGTCACGTGGCCAGGACCTGGAAGGTGGGGTCCCAGGGAGCCTGCTGGAGTGTGTGGGGTGGAAGACAAGGGAGATGACACAAGGAGGACGTGAGGAACAAGGAGAGCCCAAGGGAAGGAGGCAGAAATGGAGGAGTCAAATAAGAGACAGAGACCAGGCACAGTGGCTCATGCCTGTAATCCCAGCATTTTGGGACGCTGAGGCGGGCAGATCACCTGAGGTCAGGTGTTCAAGACCAGTCTGACCAACATGATGAAACCCCATCTCTACCAAAAATACAAAATTTAGCTGGGCGTGATGGCCCGTGCCTGTAATCTCAGCTACTCAGGAGGCTGAGGCAGAAGAATCGCTTGAACCTGGTAGGCTGAGGTTGCAGTGAGCCAAGACTGTACCATTGCACTCCAGCCTGGATGACAGAGCAAGACTCTGTCCCCCACTCCCCCCACGCAAAAAAAAAAGAGACAGAGAGAAGGGAGTGAGAGAGTAGGACAGAGAGAAACACAAGAGAAGAGAGAGACGGAGATGGCGAAGGGAGGACAGAAAGAGGCAGAGAGGCAGTGATGAGAGAGACAGAAACTAAGGAACACAGAAAGGCTAGGGAGGAAGGACAGACACAGCCCCGCAGAGAGGCTGAGGGGGACAGATCACTCACACAGGACACACCACTCCACCCCCAGACCCCGAGCCAGCATCTCCCCCTGCCCAGCCTGGCCTCAGTGCCTTGAGGGTGGATAGGATAGCCAGACCATGCTAGGCTGGGTGGCAGCCTACCCCACTCCTGTGTATGCCCCAGGGGACAGCGGGGCCTTGGGAGGTCCCTTCCCCAGTGGCAGGTCCAGTGGGGCAGCCATGGCCCACACAGTCACTCCCTGCCTTGGGCTCCCTCTGCTGGAAAAAGGACCCAGGAGTATCGTGCTGGGGCCTGCCCCTGGCACCTGTCACTGTAAGACCCCAGGGTCACTCCCTTGTCTCCTCTGAGCTTCAGCACCTCTCTTGAACAATGTGGACCCCAATCTCAAGGTATGCTGAGCTCGGTTGGGACTGAAGCCTCTACAGGAGGGAAGAGATAACTCTTGTACTATGGCTGAAGCAGGAGGCCCTAATTCCTTCCTCTGAAACCTAAATAGTACAAAAGAGGGTTAGGATGGTCAAGCTCGCCAGGTGCATTGGGAAAAAATGCAAATGCACACACTGCAGTTAGGTACCACTTCCTAGCCGTCGGACTGGGAAAGGTCTAAAACGTCTGACAATACCAAGTGTTGACAAGGACGGGAGGGAGCAGGAGCTAGTGTGTACCGCTGGGGAGAGAGCACCCAGCCGCCCAAGGACCTGGGCAGGCAATCTGGCAAAAGCACGTGAGTCAAAGATGGTTCTTTTAACACTATATGAATATTTTATTTACCACTTCCAAATTACCTTTTTTTTTTTTTGAGACAGATTAGGGCGCAGTGACACAATCATGGCTCACTGCAGCTTCAACCAACCTCCTGGGCTCAAGTGATCCTCGAATTTCAGCCTTCTGAGTAGTTGGGACCACAAGCGCGTGGATCTCGCTATGTTGCCCAGGCTGGTCTGGAACTCCTGGGCTTAAGTGATCCTCCTGCCTTGGCCTCCCAAAGTGCTGGGAATACAGGCATAAGCCACTGTGCCCAATCATCCACGTTGCTTTTTTAAAGTGTGTTTTAATACAGTGCATGTCAATAGGTCTAATCCATACAGACAAAGCTTTTAGAGGATCTCAATGACTATTAAGAGTATAAGCGGAGGGCCAGGCATGGTGGCTCATGTCTGTAATCCCAGCACTTTGGGAGGCCAAGGTGGGAAGACCATGAGGTCAGGAGATCGAGACCATCCTGGCCAACATGATGAAACCCTGTCTCTACTAAAAATACAAAAAAAATTAGCCAGACCTGGTTGCAGGTGTCTATAATCCTAGCTACCAGGGAGGCGGAGGCAGGAGAATCACTTGAACCCAGGAGGCAGAGATTGCAGTGAGCGGAGATCGCACCACTCTACTCCAGCCTGGGCGACAGAGCAAGACTCCATCTCAAAAAAAAAAAAAATAGTATAAGGGGGTCCTGGAGACCCAGACATTTGAGAGCTGCTGGTCTATATAAAATAATGACCCTCATTGGCTGGGTGTGGTGCCTCACACCTGTAATCCCAGCACTTTGGGAGGCCGAGGTGGGCAGATCACCTGAGGTCAGGAGTTCAAGACCAGCCTGGCCAGCATGGCAAAAGCCCGTCTCTACTAAAAATACAAAAATTAGCTGGGCATGGTGGTGTGTACCTGTAATCCCAGCTACTTAGGAGGCTGAGGCAGGAGAATTTGTTTGAACCCAAGAGGTGGAGGTTGCAGTGAACTGAGATGGCACCATTGCCTGGGCAACAAGAGTGAAACTCCATCTCAAAAAATAATAATAAATAAATAAATAAATAAAGCGCTGGCCTCGCTGCCTCTATCACATTTGGATCTGTTTGTCTTTTTGTCCTTCTGCCTGCTTCCCCCCCCCCCCAGAATGGGATCAACTTGAAGGCAGTAACTTTTCATCCATTTTGCCAACTGCTATATCCCAACACCCAGAAAAGTGCTTGGCACATAGTGGGTACCTAATAATTATCTGATGCAGAGATGAATGAATAAATCCTAATCAGTGTCATTATGCATTTCTTTTTCTTTTTTATTTTATCTTTATTTTTTAAAGATGGGGTTTCACCATGATGGCCAGGCTGGTCTTGAACTCCTGACCTCAGGTGATCCACCCACCTGAGACTCCCAAAGTGCTAGGATTACAGGTGTGAGCCACGGCACCCAGCTATTTTTTAATTTTTTTAAAAGTATAGAGATGGGGTTTCACTATGTTGGCCAGACAGGTGTCGAACTCCTGACCTTGTGATCCGCCTGCCTTGGCCTCCCAAAGTGCTGGGATTACAGGCATGAGCCACTGCGCCCGGCCTGTTATGCATTTCTTACTAGCCGTTTTTTTTTTTTTTTTGCCACACACTATGCTAAGCCCTATAGAAGCACATCTACATAGGAAGTATATAAAAAAGGAGTGAAGAGTTGAGGGTGCTAGATTGAAATCCAGGGTTTGCTATTTGCTACTCTGGACAAGTAAGTTCACCTCTCACCTCCTGGAACCTCAGTTTCCCATCAGTCAGTCAGGCATTGTCCTGACATGTAAAAGCAGCAGTCACGTGGGCCAGATATCATGGCTCATGCCTGTAATCCTAGCACTTCAGAAGGCTGAGGCGAGAGGGTTGCTTAAGCCCAAGAGTTTGAGACCAGCCCGGTCAATATGGTGAGACCCTGTCTCTACAGAAAGTTTTAAAAGATGATCCAGATATGGGAGTGTGCACTTGTGGTCCCAGCTACTTAGAAAGCTGAAGTAGGAGAATCACTTGAGCCCAAGAGTTTGAGGCTGCAATGGACTGAGATCAAGCCACTGTACTCCAGCTTGGGCAACAGAGTGAGTCCCTATCTCAAAGGAAAAAACAAACAGCACCACCGACCAATAAAAGCAAACCAAAGGTAGGAGCCATTACTCCTTGGGAGGTGAGAAGCAATGGCCACATTCACCTCTGGTCGTTCCACGTGGACTGCTGTGTACCAAGCATCGAGCTGCCAAGCTGGGAGCAGATATGAAGCAGATGCTGTGTCTGTTCTCTAAGAGTGCCCTGTTTCATAAAGGAGACACTGATTAGCTCTGTGTCCTTGGGCCAGGTGCCTTTCTGTGCCTCAGTTTCCCCCATTGGTAAAACGGGATCATAACAGTACCAATCTCCAGAAGTTGCTGGAAGGAGTCAGTGAATGCTTGGCCTAGAGACTGGTAGAGGAACACTGAATGAATGTCACTGTTATTCCACCCAAAGCCATTTCCCTACCCCTGAGCCTTGGTTTCTCCATCCAGGAAATGGGTGTCAAGGTCCTGTGAAACCTTTAGCATGCCGGTCATTGACCTATTGCTCTGTGGCTCTAGATCCTTCCTTCTTCCTTTGTACTCCACTCCTTAGGGACGGTGGCTGCTTCCAACAGTTATCACTAGCTGGACTGCGTCAGTAATCCCTTTCTGCTCTTCCACAAGTTTGAAATAAATCCCTGTATTAAATCCCCTCCATTTGAAATACTTTAAGTGGGATTGGACACTGACCTGGCCCCTATGTGGCATAGGGAGCCCCCAGCCTGGCCATACCTGTAGCTTCTTGAGCTGACTGTTGACGGTGGCCAGGTCCCCTCCAGGGTCCACATCTTGCAGCTGGCTCTCCATGTGGAGGAGCTTCTTGTCCAGCTCAGCGAAGCTCTGTACCAGCTGGTCTGCTTTGCTGGCCTCAAAGAGCTGCCGTGCCTTGGCCTGGGTGGTGCTCTCCAGCTCTGCCCAGCACTGGCGGATCTCGCCCAGTTTCTTCCGCACAGAGGCCGCCAGTTCGGGCTTCTCCTGCATCAGCTGCTGGCCCTCCTGCCCCAGGTAGGTAGATGGCAGGAGATGGGGAAGAAGGATCAATGGTGAGGAGGGACAGAGAAGTATGGGAGAGCAACAGGACACAGGGAAAAATGTGAAAAGAGAATTGGAGGCAGAGAGTTGCAGACACATAGGGAGAGAGAGACATGAGGGGTGGATGCAGAGATAGGCCCAGAAGTGGAAGGAACCAGGGAAGAGAGACAAGAAGAGAGAGAGAAAGACAGACAGACAGATAGAGGAGAGGAGAGGGAGACAGAGAGGAGAGAGAGACAGAGGGACACAGAGACATGGGAAGGACACAGGGAGAGACAAATAGCCACAGAGTGATCAACACAGAGACAGGTGCAGAAAATCAGAAATATGGGGGGAAGACCATAAGAAAGACAAGGAGAGGGGGATAGACAGAGAGGAAAGAAACAGGGAGCCAGAGAGGCAGGGAGAGAATGAACATCCATTAAACTCAAATCAAGAAGACTGTCTTCACCATAGGCCACCATTTATGGAACATTAATGACCACTTAAGGGTTTAAGGCCAACCTGGGTGTCTCTGTGTGAGTCAGAAGAGTGGGCATATCCAGGGCTGTAGGTCTAGGGGTTCAGCCAGAGCAGGGGGAAGTTCTGGGGTTGAGACTTGGAGCAAATATCTGTCTCAGTCCCTCCAAGGCTGAAGTCAAGTGGCCCAGAGCCACTTAGGTAACATTAAGCATTGAAAAACAAGACCAGAGTTATTACAGCTCTTAGGTGTGTGGCCTTGTATGAAGCACTTTTTGTGCACAAGAGCCCAGGTAGTAGCTATATTTATTATTTCCTCAATTTTATAAAAGAGCAAACTGAGGCTCCAAGAGGTTAACACAATTATCTAAGGCCCCACAGCTGGTAACAGGCACAGACACAGTTAGAACCCAGGACTGTAAGGCTGTAAGAATCCAAAGTTTACTAAAACCCTGGGCTTCCCAGGCGCCGTCTCAGCCCATCTTGCTAACCTTCCATCTTAATGCTTCAAATGGTATGGAAGGACCCTGGTAGAGGAGGTTATAGGAAGAAGTGAAATATTTAACAAACAGGAGGATACAGGCACCATTCAGAAGAGATGCCAGCCATTTCATAGATGGGCAAACTGAGGCTCAAAGAGGTTATGTGAATCACTCAAACCCACATAGCTAGGAGCAGATCTGGAGCTGATTTGAGTCAGTCCAGAGGTGTGAGACCAGCAGGATGGCAGCAGAGGGTACAGCAGGTGAGACACGGGCTCCCTAAAGGTCTCTTGGACTTGGCACAGGCAGAGGGGCCATTAGCTTCCTCACCCTCTCAATCTTCTCCAGCCACTCCTTATTCTGAGCCAGCTCGGCCATGAATGCCTGGTGCCGGAGCCATCTCTTATGCAGCTTGTGGCTGTCCTCCCTCGTGCCATCCCGCGCCATCAGCATCTTCTCATGGATCCAGCCATCCAGCTGTGCAGGACAGGGAAGGAGGGCTCAGCCCATCCCCCCAACCTGCCACAGCCCCCCATTCCCTCCAGGAAGCCCCAGGTTCAGGGCCTGGGCTTCTAGGGTGTATGGGTGGAGAGAAGAGGGGAGGATGGGAAAAGCTTCGCAAGTGAGGCCTTTATGTTGGGAACAGGTGCAGCTCAAGCTCTTTCCTGGGTAGAGGATGGATGGAAGGGTACCCAGAATGCCCAATCCTTTGCCCCCCTGTCCTTTGTCCTGAAGGAAGCCCTCCTCAACTCCTCACAAGCCCCCAACGCAGGGCCAGTCAGCCCCTTCAACTTGGGGACAAATCATCCCCCACAAAACAAGCTCTCCAACCTAATTTAGCTAACTCCCAATTCATCTCCAGCACCACCCCTCCCATAACCACACTTAGACCCTTTATTCAATCTTAGCCACCTCCCAATAAGGACCAATTCAAGAGCCTTAATCCATTCCCAAGGGTATCAAGTGAAGCCCCCTATCTAGCCCCAGTTCCTCCAGTATGGCCAGATCAACCCCCCAAACGACCTCCCAATTAAAGCCAACTCTAGCTTTCTCTAAACCAGCCCTCCAATCTGGAGTAGACCTATCCTCCACAATCACAATCCAGCACCCCTAATGAGCCCACAGGGCTCCCCAAACCTAGCCCTGGGACTCTACGACCACAGATCCCCAAACCATGATGAGTTCTAGCCCTCAGCCAAAGCCAACCCCAGCCAAATGTGAAAAACAAAGCTGGCTCTCCAAACCAGTCCACCCCAAAATCTAGCCCCAGACTCCCCATCGTTGATCAGATCGAACGTCCTAAGCCAGCCAGCACCCCGACCCCTACAACTAAAGCCAGTTCTAGTCCACCCACCCATCAACAAAACCAGTCATCCAACACGCAAGCACCAAGAGTGGGCCCCCCCCGACAGCCCTGGGCAGGATCAATCACAGACTGCTTTCTGAGCCTCTCCCACCCTCCTCCAGTAAAAAACCAGACTTATCCTCCAAGCCAGAACTTCCCCACTCATGACCAAACCTGGCACCTGAAACAGTTTGCTCCTCCCCTTTCTCCTCCCCACTCCAGTCACAAGATCCTCCCCCCTCCCGCCTGGAAAAAAAAAAAACCACCGGACTCCCGGCTCCGAGGTCCCAGTAGGCAAATGCAGTCATAGCCAAGGACAAATCCCCAGATCCCCAGCCGGCCAAACCCCAGCCCACGTTCCCTGAGCATGTGCTCCCCAGGGGTCCAGAACAGCGTCACACTCCATACACACACTAGAACCAAGTCCAGTGCTGAACCCCCCGACTCAATTCACAGGTTCCTGACGCGCAGGGGAAGAGTCCAACGGCAGCCACAGCCCGCAGTGAAAGCAGATCCCCTAAAGAGATAGTGCCCTATCCTCAAAGTAAAGCCCCCTCAAAAGTGATTCCCTCATCATGGAGGGCAAGACCAGACTAACGCCCAAAAGTCAGGAAAAGCCCCCGAAAGTCAGAGTCCCCCAGACCCAGAGAAAATCCAAGATCCCTCACCACTCAAGGCAGAGCCCCCCAAAAGTGATTCACCTCCATCATCCAAGGCTGACACAGATTCCCCAAAACAAGAAAGAAACCCCCCAAAAGGTTGAGAAACCCCCAGCCCCAGGGCAAATCTTAGATCCTCCATTATCCGGAGAATAGCACCCCCCGAGAGGGTGAGACGCCCTTAACCCTCAGGGCAAATCCAGATTACCCTAGAAGTGGTCTTAGAAGCCCCCCCACCCCCGCTTCGCTCCCCTCCCCTGGGGGCCGGCTCCTCAATCCCGCCCGCGCCAGCACCGCGGACAGCTCCCGGCGTCCTTGCCCCTCCCCCAGGGCGGGGGTCCTGGCGCCTGCCCGGCCCGCCCCCGCGCCGCCCCGCCCCTCCTTCCCGCGGCCCCGGCGGGCGGGCACGCGCCCGAGCCCCCTCCCCCGCCTTCTCCGCGGGGTGCGCGCCAGCCCCCTCCCCTGGGCGCCCCCGAGACCTGAAGCGTCAGTGGCGTTGGCGGGGTGTCCCTGCGGCGGGCGGGCGGGCGTTTGCCCCTCCACTGCGACGGCAGCGGCAGCGGCGGCAACGACTGAGGCTCCGGCGGCCGCGCGCCCCCTCCCTCGCCCCCGCGCCGCGGCCGCGCGCCCGCCCGCGCGCGCCCCCTGCCTGCCTCCCTGTCCGCCTCTTTGCGGAGCCCCAGGTGGGGGTGCAGGAGGAACCACCACTCGCCCCAAGGCTTCGGGTGGGGGGCTTCTGCGCCATCACAGATGATTGCTACCTGGTCCAGAACAATCTCACGAGGGATGGGGGGTGCTCTGGAACCAAATCTAATGCCGGGAGGAGGCGCCTGGGCCTTGGACTGCATCACTATGGGAGAGTGGAGATTATGGGGAGGGGGCTGGAAGACGGCCTCCTGAACCATCTCTAGTGGGAAGAGGCTCGGGCTCCTGGCCACCACATGTGGACAGGGGACATGGGAGGGCGACCTGGAACATCCCTTACAATCTCCAGTGGGGGCAAGAGGGAACAGGGGGTTCCTCCAATGGCTCAAGTCCCAGCCTATCCCAGTTATCGGGGGAGCGGGGTATGGAGGCTCTTGTTTATTTTATATGCAGAGAGGACAATCTTCCATGGGCATTCAACATGGGTGGAGGGTCGAATCATCTTTAATTGAGGCTGAGGGGTTTAGCTGTTAGTCCTGGTTTTTGAATCATCTTTGGTTGAAAGAAACTTTGTACGGGGTGATGACGGAGGAGGGGATGATCCTGGGTCACACAGATGAATGGGCTCGGGGCCAGGACTGTCTCTGTTTAGGGTTTAGGAAAATGTTTACTGGGCCATCTCTAATGTGTCCGGAGTCTAGAATTGTTTCTATGGAATGCAGGGGAAGGAGGGGAAGCCCGGGAGTCTCCTGAACTGTCACTAATAAGGAAGGGAGCCTGGACCATCTCTGATTAGGGGAGAACTTCCCTAATGTGTGCAGCTCATCCCTAAGGGCTAAGGGTAGGGGCTTGATTCCCAGACACCTTTAAAGGAGCGAGGGCTTGGTTCAGAGCCATCGCTGGCTAAAGTAGCTCACAGGGCCGCTGGCCCCCCATAGTCCCCAACCCCTATCCCCACCGCCCGCTCCGTCCCTCTCCGGGGGTAGAGGGATGCTCACAAATCTCGGGAGAGAAAAGTGAGATCAGCGCGCGTCCCCGCGGGACCCATAGGCGCGGATACGCGCGGTTGCCAGGGGCGCCCGGGGCCCCTCCCTCCTTCCCGGGAGTCGGCGTGGGCAGGTAGAGCTGTGGAGCATGCGCACTGAGACCCGGCTCCATGCGCCTCCTAGCGGCTCAGAACGAGCATGGCTCCACGACCCACTTAGACGGGGCGTCCCCACCCCCACCTCCGCGGAGGAGCATTTCCCTCCCGACTAAAGGGGAGGTCTCCGTACCCAGAACAGCTGGAGTGCCTACCTCATGGCAGTCTCGGAGGAAGTGCTGCAGCTCAAGTTGGTCATGTAGCTTTTGCATCCATTGCTGGGCCCGTAACTGGTTTTCTTGGTTCCTGGGGATGGGGAGATCGGGGCTGGGGATAGGCCCCGGGGGCAGGGGGACGGTGCTGGCAGTAGTAGGCTTGTGAGGGCATGGGGCTGGGTAGGGGAAGAAGGGCGTGGAGCATATGTAAGAGAGAGAGGAGGAGAGACCAAAGTGGGGATGAGGGGAGAGAGTCTAGGACAGACAAAAAAAACATCAGTGGGGCAAAGCCAGGGACAGGGCTGGAGAAGGGCAGAGAGACAGACATACAGACAGAGGAAGAGAGATAGAGGGAGAAGGAGAGATAGGCACCTAGAAAGAAAAGGATACTGGAGAGAAAAAGAGGCAACCCCAGAGAGAAAGATAACAGGGAACTAAAGACAGATACCCAGAGACAAAAAACAAAAACAAAACGAGAAAGTGAGAGGAGACACCAGAAAGAGAGATAATAAGAAGAGATGAGCAAAGAGATGGAGCAGGGTAGAGCCAGAAAGACACTCGGGGAGCAGCAGACGAGGAGCCCACAGAGGACCGATGGTGGAGGTGGGGCACAGAGAAGCTGAAGCAGGCACCCCTGCAGGGAGAGCCAGGCCCTTGGCTTGACTGAACTGACCAGGCTGGACCCAGGCCTCACACCCTGGAGCCGGTTGGGACCATGGCCCCAGGCAGTCTAGCCTCCTGCCCACAGTGCAGGGCAAAGTGCCCAAGAGGCCTGGTGGATGGGGCTGGGGATTCCACATGGGCGCCCAGGCATGGCTGTCCGGTCGCTGTCATCCCCAGGGAGAGAGAGAGAATGTGAGACTATCCTCATAGGGTCCCCCTCAGAGTCCTTAGAATCCTTTCTCTTTTTTCCTTTTCTTTTTTTTTTTTTTTTGAGACAGAGTCTCCCTCTGTCACCCAGGCTGGAGTGCAGTGGCCTGATCTTGGCTCACTGCAACCTCCATCTCCCAGGTTCAAGCAATTCTCCTGCCTCAGCCTCCTGAGTAACTGAGATTACAGGCACCTGCCTCCATGCCCAGCTGATTTTTGTATTTTTAGCAGAGATGGGGTTTCACCATGTTGTCCAGGCTGGTCTCTAACTCCTGACCTCAAGTGATCCGCCTGCCTTGGCCTCCCAAAGTGCTGGGATGGGAGTGAGCCACTGCACCCGGCCAATCTCAGAAGGCTTTCTGACCTTCCAGGCCCCACACCCCCACCGTTCCAAACTCTTATCCTCCTCACACTCTTTCCCCTCACTCTGTGATAACTTTACTGGCCTTCTCCCTCTCCCTTGAGCGAGCCTCAGGCCCTTGGCACTGGCTGTCCCCTCTGCTGGGAATGCTCCTTCCCCCAACGTCTACTCAACGATCACCTTCTTCACAAGGTCCCCTGAGCACTCCCCAACACTTTGGCTTTTTTTTTGAGATGGAGTCTCGCTCTGTCTCCAAGTTGGAGTGCAATGGCGCGATCTCAGCTCACTGCAGCCTCTGCCTCCCGGGTTCAAGCGATTCTCCTGCCTCAGCCTCCCGAGTAGCTGGGACTACAGGCACACATCACCACGCCCAGCTAATTTTTGTATTTTTAGTAGAGACGGTGTTTCACCATGCTGCCCAGGCTGGCCTCGAACTCCTGACCTCGTGATCTGCCCACCTCGGCCTCCCAAAGTGCTGGGATTACAAGTGTGAGCCACCGCGCCCAGTCTTTCTTTAATTTTCTCCTTAGCACTTAACACAATCTAACACATGCTGTATATTACTTATTTATCTTGTCTGTCTCCCATGCTAGGATATATGATTTCCACAAGGGCAGGGATTTCTGTCTGTTTTGTTCCTTGATGGGTCCCCAGTGCCTAGGAAAAGGGCTTGGCACACAGTACATGCTCAATTGTTAAATGAATGAATGCAAGAGATGCAGTGGCAGAGAGAAAAAGAGATGGGAGAAACAAAAGTACAGTGTCTGTGAAAGACAGGCAGAAAAGACAGACAGGGTTAGAGAGGTGCAGACAGAGGGAGAGAAAAACAGAGCGAGCGGGAAACAGAGATACAGAAATAGATGGATAGACGGAGGCAAAGAGACAGAGTGTGTAGGAGACAGTTCCAGAGACAGAACCAGAGAGAAGGAACAGGAAGGGCCTGAGCCAAGCAAGCGAAGCACTGACTGTCTCCTGCTCAACTTAACTCAGGAGCCAGGAAAGACGAAACGCCTCTGAAATTGAGCTGAAATCAATCCCTCCAGGCCTCACATAGCCAAACTGGTAGCCAAACTGTGAAGCGTCAGTCATAGAGGTGAGGAAGACCCTGAGTCTCCATGAGGGTGAGAGAACAACAGAGACAACAGAGAGCCGGGCATGGTGGCTCATGCCTGTGATCCCAGCATGTTGGGAGGCCAAAGCAGGATTGCTTGAGCCCAGGAGTTTGAGACCACCCTGGGCAATATAGTGAGACCCCATCTCTACACACAAAAGAAGAATTAAAAATTAGCCCAGCAAGGTGGCACACGCTTGTCATCCCAGCTACTCAGGAGGCTGAGGCAGGAGGATTGTTTGAGCCCAGGAGGTCAAGGCTGCAGTGAGCAGTGATCACAACACTACACTACAGCCTGGGCAGCAGAGCAAGACCCTGTCTCCCCCTGCATCCCGCCCCCCAGAAAAAAGGAAAGAAAAGAAAACAACAGGGTTCAAATCCAGGCTGTGTCACTTCCGGGCTGTGACTCTGGGCAAGTCAGTTTTCCTTTCTGAGCCTTACGTGCAAAATACAGATAAGAACAGCACCTTGCAGCCGGGCGTGGTGGCTCACGCCCGTAATCCCAGCACTTTGGGGGGCTGAGGTGGGTGGATTGCTTGAGGTCAGGAGTTTGAGAGCAGCCTGACCAACATGGCAAAACCCCATCTCTACCAAAAATACAAAAATTAGCTGGACATCATGGCACATGTCTGTAGTCCCAGTTACTCAGGAGGCTGAGGCAGGAGAATCGCTTGAACCCAGGAGGAAGAGGTTGCAGTGAGATGAGAGCGCACCACTGCAATCCAGCCTAGGCGACAGAGTAATACTCTCTCTCCAAAAAAAAAAAGAAAAAGAAAAAGAACAGCACCTCACACACGGGTTCCAGGTGAGGGGCCAGGCAAGCCAAAGCTCTAAGTGGCTTGCCCCTGAATCTCACATATTGAGGAGGGAAGCCAGGTCTAGGACCTCCAGGGCCCCGGCCCCCAGCTCTGTATGGCTCTGCCCCCTTGTGGATGTGGAAACCCCTCCCACTCCTCCCACAGAGTGGGAAATGTGTCCCTTGGCAAATAAATGGTGGGGAAATGCAGAGATTAGTCTGTCTCGGTTCCTCTGTGTCCACTCCTCACCCACCACAAGCCTGGGGCAAATGCTGCCTCTTCCACAGCCCCTGCGCGTCTCCCATCGAGGCCCTGACCTTTCTGCTTGGGTTTCTTCCATCCCAGCCCCACGCATTCTGGGCCCTCCTTGTCAGATAATGTTTGAGCTCTGTGAGGCAGGAATCCTGTTCTGTCCTGGTCATCTCTGTGGCCACACCCCACTCCGCACAGAGCACAAGCTCAGTACATGTTTAATTGACTAGAGAATGAGTGAATGAACAGTAGAGTGAAAGGAGCAATTAATGAATGACAGAAAAGAAATGAATGAGTCAATCACGTAATGAACATTCCCCCGGGCTCCTCCTCCTCGTTTTGCTGAGCCTGGTGTGCAGCAGGTGCTCAGGAAATGTGGAACAGGCCAGGCTCTGTGGCTCACACCTGTAGTCCAGCTACTCAGGAGGCTGAGGCAGGAGGATTGGTTGAGCCCAGGAGTCCCAGGTTGCAGTGAGCTATGATTGTACAACCACACTCCAGCCTGAGCAACAGAGTAAGACCCCTGTCTCAAAAAAAAAAAATTGTGGGGCTAAGGAAGGTATGATCCAGGCCTGGATGAAGAGGGGAGAACTAAATGATGAGTTTGTATCCTTAAGAACCAAATTCCCATGAAAGTTTCCTTTAGAAACTTGCAGCCTTGCCCCAGATAAATCTAGGGAAAGGATACCTGTGCCCTAAACAGAAAAGCGGTAGAGGTCTTGGGGCTGGGGGTGGCACAGTGAAGTGACCAGGGATGCTTTCCATCAGGAGATGGGAAGACAAAGGCAGAGGGGGGGTACTGGGTCCTCATCCAGCCTGGACTATGCCAGAGAGAGCCAGAGAGCCTGAGAGGAGAAATTTAGGGTCACCAAGAGGAGCTGAAATGCTCTAGTCAGAGACAGAACCGGGTCTGGAAGACAAGAAAGGACTTCCCATGATGGCTGGAGGTGGTGGTGCTGTTTTATTCAGGGCCTATCTACAATAGTGCCTGGCACACAGTAGATGCTTAATAAATGTCTTTGCATGATTAGTGGCAGGAAAGACAAGAGGGTGGTGGCAAGAGGCAGATGGTGACAGAAGCGGAGAACAATTAGGTTCGAGAGATGAGAGAGATACAGAGACACGCGGACACTCACTCCACATGCTTCCTAGAGTGGCTGGGGCCAGGCAGAGGTGCTTATGCAAAATATTTGATAACCAGCCTGGCAGGGAACACTGTCCCGTCAGGCAAGCGGGAGCACACCTGTGCCTGGCCTCTAGCTGCTGGATCTGGGGAGGTCTGGGGTTTCCCAAGGAGGGTGCAGACAGCAGGATGGATAATAGGGCATCCAGGGAAATAAGTTAACATTTTTTTTAAGGGGGGACACAGTCTTGCTTTTCATCCAGGCTGGAGTGCAGCGGTGTGATCACAGTTCGTTGCTGCCTCAATCTCCCAGGCTCAAGCAATCCTTTCATCTCGGCCTCAAGAGTAGCTGGGACTACAGACACTCATCACCACGCCCAGCTATTTTTTTTCTTTTTTTTTAGAGAAGGGGTCTCACTTTGTTGCCCAGGCTGGTCTGAAATTTGTGAGCTCAAGCAATCCTCCTGCCTCAGCCTAGTGAAGTGCTGGGATTACAGGTATGAGCCGCTGCACCCAGCCTAAGATTTTAACAAGAGGACCAGCTATCCCACGCTGAGAGCAGGCTATACAGAAACCTTTCACTGTATATCCTTCTGTATCTTTCAGGTTGACAGCCTCAGGTTACCTTTTCACAATATATCCACTTAAGGCCGGGTGCGGTGGCTCATGCCTGTAACCAGCACTTTGGGAGGCCAAGGCGGGTGGATCACCTGAGGTCAGGAGTTCAAGACCAGCCTGGCCAACATGGTGAATACAACAATTAGTCGGGTGTGGTGGTATGCACCTACAGTCCCACCTACTCGGGAGGCTGAGGCAGGAGAATCTCTTGAACCTGGGAGGTGGAGGTTGCAGTGAGTCAAGATCATGTCACTGCCTGGGTGACAGAGCGAGACTCCATCTCAAAAAAAAAAAAAAATCCACTTAAATCAAATCTAAGACAACATGGAATTAAACAGAAATCAGAAAAGGGCACAGAGAAACAAATCATGATGAAAGGAATGGGACCCTGGCCTCCCACGCCCCATCTTCTGCCCCCTCCCTGGGGTGGACCTACTTCTCCAGCAGCCGGGTCACAGCCTCCTGGGCCTGTGCCCCGTAGATGTTGCCCTGCCTCAGCAGGCCCTCCGCAGCCTGCACGGCCACCTGCATCTTTTGCTGGCTCAGCTCCATGGTGGTGAGAAAATCCCGATGCTGCTTCAGCGCCTCCTCCACTGATTCCACCGTGCCCGGGAGCTCTGCACCAGACAGCGCCATCTCCTGGGAAAGAAGGGGCATGGTGCAAAGGTCAGCCTCATTCCATTCCAGGACTGGGAGAGGCTGCCAGCCTGGCTTGCCACCACTCCCCCAAAACCTTGCTAGGATAGAACATTCCAGGCGTGGTCCCACCTCGGGGGCGTGGCTGGTCTACTCTATCCCTCCACATATCCCCATGGCTGGCTCCTTCACTTTCTTCAGGTCTCTGACTACCCCGCCAAAAATATCAACTCCCACCCCAGGCCTATCCCACTACCCTCCTGTATTATTTCTTTTTTGGGGGTGGCGGGAGGGGTGGGGCAGACAGAGTCTCTCTCTGTTGCCCAGGCTGAAGTGCAGTGGCACGATCTCGGCTCACTGCAACATCCACCTCCTGGATTCAAGAGATTCTCCTGCCTCAGCCTCCCAAGTAGCTGGGATTACTGGTGCACACCACCACGCCTGGCTAATTTTTTGTATTTTCGGTAGAGACGGGGTTTTACCATGTTGGCCAGGCTGGTCTTGAACTCCTGACCTCAAGTGATCTGCCCACCTTGGACTCCCAAAGTGCTGGGATTATGGGCACAAGCCACCACACCTGGCTAATATTTTGTATTTTAGTAGAGATGGGGTTTTGCCATGTTGATCCGGATGGTCTTCATCTCCTGACCTTGTAATCTGCCTGCCTAGGCCTCCCGAAGTGTTGGGATTACAGGCGTGAGCCACGCCCGGCTGTGTCTCTGTTTTTTTTAGATGGGTGGGTCAGAAGGGTCTCTCAAGGCCACTTCAGCTCCACATTTAGTAATCTTATGATTCAGGGGCTCTCTGTCCTTTCTCCCCAACTCCCTAGATCAGGATTTCCCAAGCCCTAAGCCACAGAGGGGTACCAGTCTATGGCCTGTTAAAAACTGGGCCGCAGGCTGGGCGCAGTGGCTCACGCCTGTGTCCCAGAACTTTGGAAGGCCGAAGTGGGCAGATCATGAGGTCAAGAGATCGAGACCATCCTGGCCAACATGTGAAACCCCATCTCTACTAAAAATACAAAGATTAGCTGGGCATGGTGGCGCGTGCCTGTAGTCCCAGCTACTTAGGAGGCTAAAGCAGGAAAATCGATTGCACCCAGGAGACAGAGGTTGCAGTGAGCTGAGATCATGCCACTGCACTCCAGTCTGGTGACAGAGCGAGACTGTCTCAAAAAAAAAAAAAAAAAAAAAAAGATTTGGGACCACTTTGGATAATCCTCAAACTGGGTCAGCATCCTCTAGACAACCAGCCTAGGCAAGCACCCTTTTAAAGACACTGGAAACTACTCTTGGACAATCTGAAAACCGGGCATTCTTGCCAAAACTCTCAAAGTTGGTTCCCATCCCAGAATAATCTCCAAACTGGATCGGCTGTCCCAATAACCACTGCACTTGGTTCCTCTCGCCACAAACAGTTACTCTCTCCAGAGAATCCATAGTTGTCATCTCCCAAAATGAAGATAATGTGCTAATTTAGGCATCCCACCATGTAATCCACAATCACTGACTGATCCCAGTAACCCCTCAACCTCCATAAAACTAATCCTTTGTTATCCATACCAAGATCCTCTTTGAACCCCATTTAACCATCACCAGTCAGCCTCACAGTCTTATTTCCTTCCAGATAATCCACAAACCCAGGAAGCCACTCCAGTAAATACCCACGTACATTACTTGCTCCGGATAATCCACAAACTGTCACCTCGGGTAAGACACCAACCGATCCCACTCATCATAACCCTCAAATTCTGTTACATACATACACACTTCCACACACACTTGGATGATCCACAGACTCAGATATCCATTCTGAATACTCTCTCAACTCCCACCCACCTCAACACCCAGTGGTCCCAGCAAACACCCTCCTCCCCACCCTCGCATGTCCCTGTCCCTGTAATCCCCCATGGCCTCGGACCCTCCCTCTCCGAACTGCAAACCCCGAGCAGGCACCTGGTTACACAACACCGCGAGCGCCTGGCGTAGATCCCGCAGAAACAGCTGGTAGATGTGCGCCTGGACCAGTGCCTCCCTGCGCGCCTCCCACAATCCGAGCAGTTTATGCCAGCCAAGTTCAAGGTGCGGCAGCCACTCGTCTAGTGCCAGGCCCGGGCCCAACTCTGCACCGTCGGAGGCCAGCAGCGCTTCGCTGGCCGCCACGATGCGAGCATAGTCTTCCTCGCGCTGGTCCACCTCTTCCTTGAGCGCAGCGTGGCGTGCCAGCAGCGCGTCCGCCTCTTCTAGGCTGTTGGGCAGGGGCCCCTCACTGCCGCCCGCCGCCTCCTGGGCGCGCACCAGCCAGTCCAGGAAAGCGTCGAGGTCATGCAGAAAGCGCTGCAGACGCCCTGCTGCCGCCACCGCCTCGCCGCAAGCCTGAGCCGCGCTGGCCAGTGCCCCCCACTCGGCGCCCAGCTCCTCTGCGCCCTGGTGCAGCCGCGCTGCCTGCGTCGGGAAGCGCGCAGCCAGCAGTGCTGCCTCCTCCAGAAGGGCCGCCTGACGAGGCTCGAGCGCCTGCAGAGCGGCCTCTAGGCCGCTAAGACGCCACTGCAGGGCGCCGCCGGCGCGGGGCGCGCTCTCCACAGCTCGCCGCTTCTCACGCACCTGGGCGCGCACCTCGGCCACTTCCAGCACATGGTTCTCCACCAGCAGGACCGCGCTCATTTCCTCTTTGCGCTGTTCCACTAGCTCCACGATGCGGTTCCACCTGCCCATGGGAAACAGTGACTTGAAGAGGGCAGAGACTCCTTTTGGGCACAGAGGTCCCGCCCACCCCACCCAGGGTAGAATCCAGGCCCTGGCCACCCAGCGACTGTGTGACCTCGGAAAGTCGCCCCAGTTTCTGCCGGTGTATAATGGAACCCTACCCCGCACTTTTGCTTAGAGTAGCAGTTCTCAACATGTAATCTGATCGAGGACAAAACTATCCTTATAAAAATGTGTTAAGATGCTATTTGCTTTTTCACTCTCATTCTTTCCCTTGTGTTCAGTGGAGTTTTCCAGAGGCGGCAGGAGAGACTGAATGCAGAAGCCGACTCTGGTTTAAGAGAAGCCCAGCTGCGTTCTCTTAAACCAGACATTAAAGAGATTTGCAAAGGGACAAAACAATGCCACTCTTAGTACTATATTTTTTGCTTTGAAAAGTTTTTTCGTGTTTTTTTTTTTTGAGACAGAGTTTTCGCTCCTGTTAACTAGGCTGGGGTGCAATGGCGCAATCTCGGCTCACCACAACCTGGGTTCAGACAATTCTCCTGCCTCAGCCTCCAGAGTAGCTGGGATTACAGGCGCGTGCCACCACGCCCAGCTAATTTTCTTTTGTATTTTTAGTAGAGATGGGGTTTCACCATGTTGACCAGGATGGTCTCGATCTCTTGACCTCGTGACCCACCCGTCTGGGCCTCCCAAAGCGCTGGGATTACAGGCTTGAGCCACCGCGCCTGGCCCTGTTGTTTGTTTTTTGAGAGGAAGTCTCACTCTGTCACCAGGCTGGAGAGCAGTGGTGCAATCTCGGCTCCCTGCAACCTCCGCCTCCAGAGTTCAAGTGATTCCGCTGCCTCAGCCTCCCGAGTAGGTGGGATTACAGGCACCTGCCACCACACCTGGCTAATTTTTTTGTATTTTAGTAGAGACGAGGTTTCACCATGTTGGCCAGGATGGTTTTGATCTCCTGACCTCGGGTGATCCGCCCTCCTCAGCTTCCCAAAGTGCTGAGTTTACAGGCATGAGCAACCCCACCTGGCCTGAAAAGTTACTTTTTATAAAAATATGTTAGTTATATTAACACATTAGATATTTAGATTTTTTTTAAATTTTAAGTCAGCCGGGCACGGTGGCTCAAGCCTGTAATCCCCGCACTTTGGGAGGCCAAGGCGGGTGGATCACGAGGTTAAGAGATTGAGACCATCCTGGTCAACAAGGTGAAACCCCGTCTCTACTAAAAATACAAAAAAATTAGCTGGGCATGGTGGCGCGTGCCTGTAATCCCAGCTACTCCAGAGGCTGAGGCAGGAGAATTGCCTGAACCCAGGAGGCGGAGGTTGTGGTGAGCCGAGATCGCGCCATTGCACTCCAGCCTGGGTAACAAAAGTGAAACTCCGTCTCAAAATTAAAAAAAAAAAAAAAAAAAAAATTTAAGTCATGAGATCTCACTATGTTGCCCAGGCTAGAATGCAGTGGCTATTCACAAACTCATTTATGGCACACAGAAGCCTCCAATTCCCAGGCTCAAGTGGTCCTTCCACATCAGCCTCCTGAGTAGCTGGGACTACAGGCACGCACTACTCCCAGCTTATTATTATATTTAAATAACTTAATATTTTAAAATTTCTTAGCCAGGTGCGGTGGGTCACACCTGTAACTCCAGCACTTTGGAAGGCAGGAGCATGTCGATTGCTTGAGCTCAGGAGTTGGAGAGCAGCCTGGGCAACATGCTGAGATTCCTAAAATACAAAAATTAGGCTGGGCACAGTGGCTCACGCCTGTAATCCCAGCACTTCGGGAGGCGAGGCGGGCTGATCATCTGAGGTCAGGAGTTCGAGACCAGCCAAACCAACATAGAGAAACTACATCTCTACTAAAAATGCAAAATTAGCCGGGCATGGTGGCACATGCCTATAATCCCAGCTACTCGGGAGGCTGACGCAGGAGAATTGCTTGAACCGGAAGACAGGTTGCAGTGAGCTGAGATCACGCCATTGCACTCCAGCTTGGGCAACAAGACTCCATCTCAAAAAATAAAAAAAAAATACAAAAATTAGCTAGGCATCCAGTTTCTCCTCTCTAATGTGGGGTCGTTTCCATCCCATAGTGTTAGCAGGAAGACGATATATTCGATAAACAGCCCCAGCTCAGGATTCAGCCAGAACTGCATTTGACTCCTACCTCTAGACTGAAGTAATCTTGGATAAGGAGTTCATGTGTTTGGAGCTGCGTCTTCATCTATGAACCTACTTACACCAGGAGAATTGCTGGCAGCATTCCAGAGGTACTGAGATTAGCTTGTTACTGTTCTTAAAGAGTTCTAGGCCAGGAGCAGTAGCTCACACTGTAATCCCAGCTCTTTGGAAGGCCGAGGTAGGAGGACCGCTTGAGGCCAGGAGTTTTTTGTTTTTGACATGGAATATCTCTCTGTCACCCAGGCTGGAGTGCAGTGGTGTGATCTTGGCTCACTGCAGCCTCTGCCTCCCAGGTTCAAGTAATTCTCCTGTCCCAGTCTCCTGAGTAGCTAGGACTACAGGCACACGCCACCATGCCTGGATAACTATTGTATTTTTAGTAGAGACAGGGTTCCACCATATTGGTCAGGCTGGTTTTGGACTCCTGACCTCAGGTGATCCACCTGTCTTAGCCTCCCAAAGTGCTGGGATTACAGGCAGCAGCCACCATGGCCAGCCAAGCCCAAGAGTCATAAGACCAGCATGGCCAGCACAGTGAGATCCTGTCTATACAAAAGATAATAATAATTAGCTGGGCATGGTGCTGTGCACCTGTAGTCCCAGTTACTCAGGAGGCAGAGGAGGGAGGATCGCTTGAGCCTAGGTGTTGGAGGCTGCAATGAGCCATGATCCTGCCACTGTATTCCAGCCTGGGAAACAGAGCAAGATCCTGTCTCAAAAAGACAGAGAGAGAGAGAGAGAGAGAGAGAGAGAGAGAGAGAGATCTGAATTCTAGGACCTTGACTATGGAAATTGGGATATTGGGTTTTGTTGTTGTTGTTTTGTTTTGAGACAAGGTTTGGCCCTATTGCCCAGGCTGGAGTGCAGTAGCGCAGTCTCTGCTCACTGCAGTCTCCACCTCCGGGGCTCAGGGCATCTTCCCATCTCAGCCTCCCAAGTAGCTGGGACTACAAGTGTGCACCACCATGCTTGGCTAAATTTTGTACTTTTTTTTTTGTAGAGAGAGATGGGGTTTCACCATGTTGCCCACGCTGGTCTTGAACGTGGGAGCTTAAGCAATCTACGAATATCAGCCTCCCAAAGTGCTGGGATTACAGGTACGGGACACTGTGCACAGAAGAATATTGGGTATATAAAGTGCTTGGGAATTCTCCTGGCAGATTGTAGATATTCAATAAATCCTTTCTGGACAAATAAATGAACAGCCAACTGAAATGTCTATTTTAATTTCACCACATCATCACCAGCATTAGGTATTATGATTTTTGGTCAACATGTTACTGATTTATCAGGTGGCCGTTATGATGCCAGGGGTTTGAGATTGCACATCTTTGCTGTCCATGGTTGTGTGAGTGTGGAAGGGGAGGATGGGAGGGACCCCCAGCCCCAGGCCCTCCTACCTGCTGTTGAGGTGGTCCTGGCAGGAGCGCACCTCATCAGAACTGGGGTGGCCTCCTTCCACCAGCTCCTGGACCGTTTGGTTCACATCCAGAACTCGGCCCATCAGGCTGTTCATCTCTTGGTCCAGGCTCTCGAATCTGCAGAAGGAAGATGGAGATGCTCAGACACCCGAATCCTGTGGACCTTGGTTTTATGAAATGCCTTCTATCGGTTCTACTCCTAACTCCCCACCCTCACTTTTCAGCCGCCTTTGTGGGCCCCTCCTCTTCTACCGACTGTTAATTTAATTTAATTTATTGAGACAGAGTCTCACTCTGTTGCCCAGGCTGGACTGCAGTGACATGATCTCAGCTCACTTCAACATCCGCCTCCCAGGTTCAAATGACTCTCGCGTCTCAGCCTTCCAAGTAGCTGGGACTACAGGCGTGCGCCACCACGCCTGGCTAATTTTTCTATTTTTAGTAGAGGTGGGATTTCACTATGCTGGCCAGGCTGGTCTCGAACTCGTGACCTTATGTGATCCACCTGCCTCAGCCTTCCAAAGTGCTGGGATTACAGGCATGAGCCACCACGCCTGGCTGGACCTTGGTTTTATGAAATGCCTTCTACTGGTTCTACTCCTAACTCTCCACCCTCAGTTTTCAGCCGCCTTTGTGGGCTCCTCCTCTTCTACCTGCTGTTAATTTATTTATTGAGGCAGAGTCTCTGTCGCCCAGGCTGGAGTGCAGTGGTGTGATCTCAGCTCACTGCAACGTCTGCCTCCAGTTTCAAGCGATTCTCATGTCTCAGCCTTCTGGGATTTACAGGCATGCACCACCATGCCCGCTAATTTTTCTATTTTTAGTAAAGATGGGATTTTACCATGCTGGCCAGGCTGGTCTCAAACTCCTCCTTATGTGACCACCTGCCTCAGCCTCCTAAAGTGCTGGAATTACAGGCGAGAGCCACCGTGCCTGGCCTCTACCTGAGGTTTAAATGTGAGATTCCTCAGCAGCAACTCCACCTTGAGTCCTCTGGGCTTTCCCTCACACCCTTTTTCAGCGATCCCACCCAACCCCACAGCCTTGGTCTTCTCCCCTCAACTCATGACAGTCACTCCAGCCTCAACCTCTTACCTTTTGAACCTGTCTCCAACCTCCAAGCCTGGCTATTCACACCCACCTGACTCAGATTTCTTCTTCCTCTGGGCCCCCATGTTGGAGACAGCACTGTCATCCCCCAGGCCAGAGCCCTGGGCCTTGTTTTGGAAAATCACCCTGGCCCATGGCCTCAGCCTCCATGGCCTGTCCACTTACCTCCCACCCTGGTCTAATCCTGTTCAGCTCCATCTGGGTCCCCTCCCTGGTTGCCTCTCTGGGTTCCCAGCCATCACTCTCACCCGCTCCAACCCACCCTCCACATGGCAGCCACTGAGGTCTATTTTAAGCTGGACATGGTCCACCCATCTTTAAATCAATGTTTCAAAGAACTGGGCAACTGTGGGCACAGTAGGGGCAAGGAGCAGCCCTGTGTTTCCAGCAGTGTCCAGCACGAGACCTAAGATGGTATAGGCACTCAGTAAACACTTGCTGAATGAATGAATGGATGAACAAGATGCTCAGAGAGAGCGGTGTGGAGGGGGAACACACATTGTTCACCCACTCACTGAGCAACTCTTTGTCGGAGTCAGCCAGCAGACAAATCACTATATAATATGTCACGGGTGGTAAGTGCTACAAAGAAATGTAAAACAGGATGAAGGAATACAAAGTGGCAAGGGTCAGAGCTATTTTAATAGCTACGGAGGTGACATTTGTGCAGGGGCAGTGGGAGGCCTTCCAATGGAGGGGCCAGGCTGAGGTGTCCCTGTAGAAGCTTAGGTCGTTTATTTCATGCTTGGCGAATGTAAGCCTGGGTAATACAATAAGAGCAAACGCTGGGGTAATGCTTCCTCTAACCCCAGGCATTCGCTTAGTGTTCTGCTTGTATGAACTCATTTACCCTTCACCACAAACGTGGGTAAGGATTAATATTACCCCCATTTTACAGGTGGGCAAGCTGAGGTTCAGGATGGTTAGGCAGATTGCAGAGCTGTCACAAAGCTGCTTATGGATGAAAAAGGGATTGGAACCCCTAGTTCCAGCTGAACGAACATGGGAACTGTTGAACTAATGAAGGTGAGACTGGGTGCATGAGGAGGGGACCCTGGAGTCCCACATGTGCGCACTCACCGGTGTTGCACCACCTCTACATCGTCAAGTGAATCGGGCACGCGCATGGAAAGCAGCCATTGCTCCTTCTCGCCGATCCACAGCTCGCACGCGTGCACCTCACCGAACATGCGGTAGACAGCGAGCGCGTCCCGCAGCCACTGGCGCCGCAGAGCGGCCACTTCAGTCACCTCCGCAAACAACTGCTCGGCCTCCACCACGCGCACCTGCAGCGCCACCACCAGTGGCCCTGCGCCACTGGCGCCCCCGAGAGACGCCAGCTGGCGTCGCAGGCCGCTCACTGGCCCGCGATGCGCCTCCACCTCCCCAGTGAGCGCGCGGTGCTGGCGCGCCAGGCGGCGGCTGGACGCTTCGTCGTGGCCGAAGTCACCGGCGGCTGCCAGGCGGTAAGCGTCGCGAAGCCAGTCCAGGAGCCCGTCGAGGTCAGCGCCGAACTGGTGCAGCGCCCGCGCCTCCTGCAGCCGCCGCTCGCGCCGCGCCGCCGCCTCTTCCAGCCGCTGCCAGCGGCGCCGGGCGCTCGCCGCGCGCTCCGCCAGCCCCACGAGTTGCATCGTCTCCGCGCCCGGGCCGACGGCGCCGCCGGCCGCAGCCAGCTCCTCGCCGCACCTCAGGGCCTGCTGCAGCAACGCCCGCCGTCCGCCCAGCTCGCCCTGCAGGATCTTGTGCTGGGCCAGGAGGCGCGCAGTGCTAGACAGGTCGTGCGCACCGCCCGCCGAGCCTGCCGCACCGCCGCCGCCCGCAGCCTCCAGTAGGCGCTCCTTGTCCCGCGCCCAGCTCTCGGCCTCCTCCAGCTCCTGCAGCAGCGCCCACAGGCTCCGCGAGGCCTCCAGCTCCGCGCGCCGCCGCGCTGCCTGCTCCTGCAGCTCCGCCAGGCAGCCGTGCACGTGGTTCACGCGGTTGCAGATGACCTGCGGGTCGCAGGGCTGGTAGCCTGAGCCAGGAGAAGGGGAGCATCCAGGATTGGTCATAAGGCAAGGGGCGCCCAAGACAGGATGGTGTGGGTTATCTTACCCTGTCCTTGGAGTGACTTCATCAGATACCACCGGGTCACGCGGCCCCTCTCCAGGCAGCCCTCCCTGATACTCCAAGGCTGGAGCATACTCCTCCTCCACCCTCTCAGGCTTCTCTGCTTCCCCATCCCAGGCCTGACTACTCTGTGTTGTCACTGCCTTTTCCTCTCTTCCCTGCTGGACTGAGAGCTCCTTGAGAGCAGGACCTGGGACTGTCTCGGTCACACCCTATCCCCATCACTGCCCAGCACAGAGTGGCACCTAGAGCCTAGTGAATGTAGTGAGTTGCTGACTGAATGATGGATGAAGTCAGAGCATCTCAAATTATGTATATTTGAGTGAAAATTGCTCTCATGTTAGAATCAGGTCAAACAAAACTTTTTTTTTTTTTTTTTTTTGAGATGGAGTCTTGCTCTGTTGCCCAGGCTGGAGTGCAGTGGTGTGATCTCAGCTCACTGCAACCTCCACCTCCAGGTTCAAGCAATTCTCCTGCCTCAGCCTCCCCAGTCGCTGGGATTACAGGCGCCCACTACGCCCAGCTCATTTTTGTATTTTTAGTAGAAACAGGGTTTCACCACGTTGGCCAGACCTGTCTCAAACTCCTGACCTCAAGTGATCCGCCTGCTCAGCCTCCCAAAGTGCTGGGATTACAGGCATGAGCTGCCACGCCTGGCCAACTTCTCTGTTCTTAAGCCATGCTTCTGGGTCCCCTCTGTCATCCTTTGTTGCATTATCTGTCAATCCTAGTGATTACCTGCACTTTTTTTTCTTTTTGTTTTTATGATAGAGACAGGATCTCACTATGTTGGTCAGGTTGGTCTTGAACTCCTGGCCTCAAGCAGTCCTTCCACTTGGACTCCCAAACTGTTGGGATTACAGGCGTGAGTCACCATGCTCAACCCCAAACTCCTTTTCCTTAAATATTTCACCTTCCTCCTGGATGGCTAGTTAGTGACTAGAAAACTGTGAAATTAATGTAATGGGTCATGGCCAGCATTTCTTTGGTAGAATAGAATAGAATGAATGGAAGATACCGCAATGCGACACAATGTCAGGGGAAGTTTTTGTTTTGTTTTGAGATGGAGTCTCACCCTGTCGCCTGGGCTAGAGTGCAGTGATTCAATCTTGGTTCACTGCAATCTCCTCCTCGCAGGTTCACACGATTCTCCTGCCTCAGCCTCCAGTGTAGCTGGGATTACAGGCATGCACAACCACACCCGGCTAATTTTTTTGTATTTTTAGTAGAGACAAGGTTTCACTATGTTGGCCAGACTGGTCTCAAACTCCTGACCTTGTGATCCGCCCACTTCAGCCTCCCAAAGTTCTGGGATTACAGGTATGAGCCACCGCACCTGGCCTGGAAGTATTGTTTGATAAAAACTTCTGTGTTAGTGTGTGTGTGCATGTATGCTGTGAACTCTGAGTCATGAGATAAGTATATTTATTTATTTATTTTAGAGGTAGGGTCTCACTCTATGACCCAGGCTGGAGTGCATGGCATGATCATGGCTCACTGCAGCCTCCAACTCCTGGGCTCAAGTAATCCTCCCTCCTCAGCCTCCTGAATAGCTGGGACTATGGGCCCACACCACCATGCCTGGCTAATTATTTTTCTAAGATTTTTGTAGAGATGGAGTCTCACTATGTTGCCCAGGCTGGTCTTGAACATCTGGGCTCAAGCGATTCACCCACCTTGGCCTCCCAAAGTACTGGGATTGCAGTATGAGCCACTGTACCTGGCTGTATATTTCTTGCTGAATCACAAAAGTGAGAGAGACACTCCCGAGGTGGAATGCGGGATTTCTGTGATTCTGGACATTCACTGATGTTGACTCAAACCACAAGGTATCCAACTGGATAACAGTTACAACAACAGTGTCTTACCAGGTGCGGTGGCTCATGCCTGTAATCCTAGCACTTTGGGAGACTGAGGTGGGCAGATCACTTAAGATCAGGAGTTTGAGATAAGCCTGGGCAATGTGGCAAAACCCCATCTCTATCAAAAATACACAAATTAGAAGGTGTGGTGGTGTGCACCTGTAGTCCCAGCTACTCGGGAGGCTGAGGTGGGAGGATCACTTGAGCCAGGGATGTTGAGGCTGCAGTGTGCCAAGATATAGCCACTGCACTTCAGCCTGGGCAACAGAGCAAGACCCTGTCTTAGAAAACAGGCTGGATGCGGTGGCTCATGCCTGTAATCCTAGCACTTTGGGAGGCTGAGGTGGGCGGAACATGAGGTCAGGAGCTCCAGACCAGCCTGGCCAACATGGTGAAACCCCATCTCAAAAAAAAAAAGAAAACAAAACAAAACAAAAAATAGCTTCCATGTACCCAGCCTTACTCTGACACACAGTCATTGGATTCTCACAGCCATCCTATGGGGCCAGTATCCTTATAAGCCCTGTTTTCCAGATGAAGAGACTAAGCCTCAGAGAGGGGAAAGATTGCCCCAGAATCAGCTAAGAAGCGGTCCATGAGGACCTCACACTCTGGACCACTCATCAGGCAGCACTGCCTCCCATCACCATGACAACACACTCCCCACACTTGCACTCCCCACTCTGGCCCCTTTGCTGTATTCTCGGTGCTGCTGATTGTCACAGGAGCTGAGAACTCACAAGGTCAGGGCAAAGGGAGCTTCCTGAGACAAACCTAGCTAAGGTGAAGGAGAGGGTCCCAACAACCTCCCCTAGAGTTGAGGCAGGGATAGGAGGGGGCTGAGCCAGGGTCAGGATGTTCACATCCGGGCTTGGAAGGAAACTTCAGCGTTTGCATTTAGAATGTGACCCAGGTCGGTTAGGGTGAGAAACTTCCCCACCAACCCGCAAGCCAGACAGGTTCTTCCTTTTCTAAAAATACTCCAAGATTCCAAAGGGCTGTGGGCTCTGGATCAAGGAGGAAAACATCTTAATGCAGAGATATGGACTAGCCTCAAGGCCCTCTTATCAGCTCCATGGCCTGGGCCCATTTCCTTATCGGTGAGAAAGAAAAAAGCAGCCCTGACTGCAGTCAGCACTCACAGCTAGCCATGGTGTTCCAAGCATAAATAATCTCACAGAAATGGCCAGGGCCAGGACGGGTGCAGTGGCTCACGCCTGTAATCCCAGCACTTTGGAAGGCCAAGGAGAGCAGATCACGAGATCAGGAGTTCGAGACCAGCCTAGCCAACATAGTGAAATACTGTCTTACTAAAAATTTTAAAAATTAGCCAGGCGTGGTGGTGGGGCGGGGGGTGCTTGTAATCCTAGCTACTTGGGAAGCTGAGGCAGGAGAATCACTGGAACTCAGGAGGCAGAGGTTGGACTGAGACAAGATCACGGCATTGCACCCAGCCTGGGTGACAGTGCAAGACTCTGTAAACAGAAAGAAAGAAAAAGAGAGAGAAAGAGAAAAAGAAAGAAAGAAATGACCAGGGACAGTGGCTCACACCTATAATCCCAACACTCTGGGAGGCAGAAGCAGCAGGAATGCTTGAGCCCAGGAGTCCAGGAGTTCAAGTTCAGCCTCGGTAACATAGAGAGACCAAGTCTCTTAAAAAAAAAAAAAAGCCACAAACAACAACAATAATAAAACAATCTCACAGAACACCAACGTCAGATGGGGCCACTCTGTGACTCTGTGACCGAGATGGAGTAGGACAAAACCAAGCCTCACTCCCTAATCATGCCCGAGCACAGACAAAAGCAAGGTCACTGTGCAAACCACAGAAATGTTCACACATCCCCTTCGCCAGGCTAAGACGAGTGACGGCTACCAATTACTGCAACAGCCTCCATCTGTTCCTCCCACCACCTAGATCAAAATGATGAAGATGCCCATCACCTCGTCACTCCCACACCCCGACAGCATCCAATCCACTGCAAAACTCACTACACCGAATCATCTTCCAAATCGCCTAACACAAGCCCAAATCCTACGAGAAGCCCCCCAATATGTGTGTGTGTGTACATATATATATATATATATATTTGAGACAGAGTCTCGCTCTGTTCCCCAGGCTGGTGTGCAGTGACGTGATCTCTGCTCACTGCAACCTCCCCGTCTCGGGTTCAAATGATTCTCCTGCCTCAGCCTTCCAGGTTGCTGGGATTACAGGCATGCGCCACCATACTCTGCTAATTTTTTGTATTTTCAAAAGAGATGGGGTTTTACCACGTTGGTCAGGCTGGTCTCAAACTCCTGACCTCATGTGATCCACCCGCCTTGGCCTCCCAAAGTGCTAGGATTACAGGCGTGAGCCTCCGCGCCCAGCCCCCCAGCATACTTTTTTGCTGAGATGTCCCACAGCTCACCATGGTGTGTGTAAAGAGCCATCAAACTCAGCTTGGTTTGACCACAGAGGGACTCCTGGTGGTCTCCAGCTGGAGGGCACTGATATAACTAAGACAGGAACCTTGTTAGAGCCAGTCTTGGTTTTGCCTATCAGAATCCATGTCCGTGTGTCTGGTAAGGGAGTCTCTCTCTCCTCTTTTTTAGTCTTTAAGTCTTTGGAATGCGCCGACTCCACTCCCGGCTCTGGGATGGGCGGGTCTCAGGCACGTGGCCAATTAGATCACTGCATGCCCTGGGGCCACAATGATTGGCAGAGCAATGATGGAACCCACTGTGAACCAATGCAAGCTCTCCTAGGACTTTTTGTCGGAATTCTTGGGAGAAAGGGGCCTGTGTCCCATTGGCTCTGCTAACCTGTGAGGAAGTATATAAACCTGGGGCTGAATGATCACAGATTTCTATCACAAGGGGCAGGGCTGCTCTACAGTGACACCAACACAGAGACTAGAGATGGAGAGAGATGAGAGATGGGGTCTTTTGTTTTGAGAAGGAGTCTCTCTCTGTTGCCCAGGCTGGAGTGTGCAGTGCTGTGGTCTCGGCTTACTACAACCTCTGCCTCCTGGGTTCAAACAATCCTCCCAGCTCAGCCTCCCAAGTAGCTAGGATTACAGGTGTGCACCACCACGCCTGGCTAATTTTTATTTTTATTTATATTTTTTACTTTTAGGAGAGACGGGGTTTCACCATGTTGGCCAGGCTGGTCTCGAATGCCTGACCTCAAGCGATCGGCCCACTTCTGTCTTCCAAAGTGTTAGGATTACAGGTATGAGCCACTGCTCCTGGCCTGAGTCTTTTTTTTTTCTCTTTTTTGACATAGAGATGGGGGTCTCGCTTTGTTGCCCAAACTCCTGGCTTCAAGCAATCCTCCCACCTCGGCCTGCCAAAGCTCTGGAATTACAGACACGAGACACCATGCCTGGCCTCAGATGGAGTCCTAAAAGCACCCTTGAACCATACCTGGATCCAGCCATGCCTGAAGTAAAACTCACCCTTCCCCAGACAGTTCTTTTTTGTGACAGGGTCTCACTCGGTTTGCCCAGGCTGGAGTGTCTCACTGCAGCCTTGACGTCCCAGGCTCAGGTGATTCTCTCACCTCAGCCTCTAGAGTAGCTGGGACTACAGGCGCACCCACCATGCCTAGTTAATTTTTTGTATTTTTGGTAGAGATGGGTTTCACCATGTTGCCTGGGCTTCCCTGATCGTTTTGGTTACCTTAGCCAATCCACTCTCTTTTCACCTTAAGCCATTTGAACTGAATTTCTATCACATGCTGCTAAACAGGCCCTGACTATACATTACTTAGCACAGAGTTGCTTTATTTATTTATTTTTATAGAGATGGGGTTTCTCCACGTTGGTCAGGCTGGTCTTGAACGCCTGACATCCAGTGATCCACCCGCCTTGGCCTCCCAAAGTGAGCGACCATGCCTGGCCTGCTTTTTTTGTTTGTTTGTTTTTTGAGACAGAGTCTCACTCTTTCGCCAGACATCAGGCTGGAGTGCAGTGGTGTGATCTCGGCTCACTGCAACCTCCGCCTCCAGGCTTCAAGCAATTCTTCTGCCTCAGCCTCCCCAGTAGTAGCTGGGATTACAGGCACGCACCACCATGCCCAACTAATTTTTGTATTTTAGTAGAGACCAGATTTCACTATGTTGGCCAGGATGGTCTCGATCTCTTGACCTCGTGATCCACCTGCCTCGGCCTCCCAAAGTGCTGGGATTACAGGCATGAGCCACTGCACCTGGCCACTTTTTTGTTTTTTAAGAGACAAGGTCTCACTGTGTCACCCAGGCTGGAGTGCAATGGCATGATCATGGCTCAGTGAAGCCTCCAATTCCTGTCCTCAAATGATCCACCTGCCTCAGACTCCAAGTAGCTAGCACTACAGGCATGTATCACCATGCCCAGCTATTTTTTTTTTTTGACAGAGATGAGGTATTTCTATGTTGTCCAGAATGGTCTTGAATTCCTGGGCTCAAGCAATCCTCCTGCCTCTGCCTCCCAAAGTGCTGGAATTATAGGCACGAGCCATTGTGCCCAGCCCACACAGGTCTTTTTAAATGGTATTCATTGAGATCAGTCTGTGAAGGCCTTGGCTCATAACAAGTGCTCAATAAACATGAGGTAGTAATACAGAATCTAAGCAGGAAGAGGTGGAGTGGTCCATCTTGCCACTCAGGGCACTGATTCTCCCCAACTTCTGTTAAGTCCCCAAAGAGATGCCTTTATCCAGCTATAGTGGATGATATAGGTTAGCATCTCTCAAACGCATTAGCCATCCAGCTCTCTTGGTGCAGCTCTGGTGTACAGATAGTGAAATGGCCCACGGTAGAGGTAGGAGGACTAGACTATGCAAAATACATGATTTTCCTGCTGGGGAACACAGAGAAACCAGGAATCTCTATCACGATCCAACATTTGATGACCTGAGGCCTCTCTGTCACTTATACCAGTCTAGCTATAACATTCGAGGCTCATTTCAATTTCAGAGATTCTATACTGACTGCTTTAAAATAATTTTCCTGAAATTTCCAGAACCTCCTTAAGGGTTCTAGGCCAAAAAGGAATAAAAGAGAACTGCTAAAGAAAATTCAAGTAAAAGATTTCCTTGATACTGCATTAAAATAACATAAACATTAGAAAGAAAACATTAAGCCGGGCGCGGTGGCTCACGCCTATAATCCCAGCACTTTGGGAGGCCGAGGCGAGGTGGGTGGATCACGAGGTCAACAGATCGAGACCATCTGGTCAACATGGTGAAACCCCGTCTCTACTAAAAACACAAAAAATTAGCTGAGCATGGTGGCGCATGCCTGTAATCCCAGCTACTCAGGAGGCTGAGGCAGGAGAATTGCCTGAACCCAGGAGGGGAGGTTGCAGTGAACTGAGATGGCGCCATTGCACTCCAGCCTGGGTAACAAGAGCGAAACTCCATCTCAAAATAAATAAATAAAATAAAGAAAGAGAACATTAAGACAAAAATCACCAGTCAAGTCTGAGGAGTTATGACTTCCCTAATGGAATGTGATCCTAGGCTCTGCTTAGATGCCTCCAAGGACAGGGAGCTCACTCTTTTCTTCTGTCCCTCAGGAGTCACTCTGGCCTCTGTCAGTACCAGTTCTGAGAGTCTCCACCCCCAGCCCCAGCCCCAGCCCCAAGACTCACCCTGCAGCTGGGAGAAGCGCAGGGCAGCGGCATTGAGGGCCTCCACCCGCTCACTCTGGGCCGCAATGTCCCCCTCCAACAGTCCATGCTTCTGCAACAGGTCATCCGCCTCCACCAGGTGCTGCCCACACTCCCGGGACAGCAGCTGAGCCTGCAAGCGGGGACAGCACTGAGCACACCTCTGGCACCGACCTGGGCCGCCCACCCCTGCCCGTCGCCTGCACTAGCCCCTGCTGCTCTGCACTGCCACTCCCAACTCCGACCCGTCTTGGAAAGATACGGACCCACCTCGAGACCCTCTTATTGGCTCTGTGGCCTGGACCTCAGTTTCCTCATCAGAAGAAAGCAGAGCCCCGACTGCTATCGGCAGTCACAGCTAGCCATGATGTTCTGTCTCTGTCTTTGCCTCTCTATCTGTCTCTCTCTGAATATCTCCATCTCTCATGCACTCCACATTTCTGAGCTCTGTCTCCGTCACCGTCACTGTCACCGTCACCGTGGCTCCTTCTCTCTGCCTCCACCTCTTTCTCTTTGTCTCCCGTTTAGCTTCCAGCTTGCCGCCTGCCTTCTTTTCTCTTTCTTTCTTTCTTTCTTTCCTTCCTTCCTTCCTTTCCTTCCTTCCTTCCTTCCTTCCTTCCTTCCCTTCCTTCCTTCCTTCCTTCCTTCCTTCCTTCCTTCCTTCCTTCCTTCCTTCCTTTCCTTTCTCTCTCTCTCTCTCTCTCTCTCTCTCCTTTCTTGACAAAGTCTCACTCTGTCACCCAGATTGTGGTGTATAGGCATGATCTCAGCCCACTGCAACCTCCACCTCCTGGGTTCAAGCAATTCTACTCTCTCAGCCTCCTGAGTAGCTGGCATTACAGGCACCTGCCACCATGCCCAGCTAATTTTTGTATTTTTTAGTAGAGATAGGGTTTTGCCGTGTTGGCCAGGCTGGTCTCGAACTCCTGACTTCAGAGGATCCACCCGCCTTGGTCTCCCAAAGTGCTGGGATTACAGGTGTGAACCACTGTGCCTGGCTGCTTCTTTTCTTCTTCTTCTTCTTTTTTTTTTTTTTTTTTTGAGACAGGGTCTTGCTCTGTCACCCAGAGTGCAGTGGTGCAATCATGGCTCACTGCAGCCTCAACCTCCTGGGCTCAGGCAGTCCTCCCACTTCAGAGTAGCTGGGACTACAAGCACACGCCACCATGCATAGCTAACTTTTTAATTTTTTGTACAGACAAGATCTCATTATGTTGACCAGGCTGGTCTCAAATCCTGGGCTCAAGCAGTCTGCCCACCTTGGCCTCCCAAAGTGCTGGCACTGCAGGTGTGAGCCACCATGCCCAGCTAGCTTCTATCTTCCTTGTTTCATCTCTCTCTCTCTCTCAAATTGATTCCATCTTCCTGTGTCTTTCTCTGTAGCCATGTAGATTTCGATTGTCATCTTTGTGTCTGCCTCCTCCTCTCTCTGTCTCTGTCTCTGATGTCTCTTCGTCTCTCTCAAACTGTCACTTCTCTCTGTCTGCACCCCTGGCTTACTGACTCTATATCTCGATGTCTTTTTCCATTTCTCTCTCTCCCTCTTTTTTTTTTAGACAGTCACACTCTGTCACCCAGGCTGAAGTGCAGTGGCACCATCTCAGCTCACTGCAGCCTCTTCCTCTTGAGTTCAAGTGATTCTTGAGCCTCAGGCTCCCAAATAGCTGGGACTACAGGCATGCGCCAGCCACCAAGCCCAGCTAACTTTTTTGTATTTTTAGTAGAGACGGGATTTCACCATGTTGGCCAGGCTGGTCTCAAACTCCTGACCTCAAGTGATCTACCCGCCTTGGCCTCCCAAAGTGCCGGGATTCCAGATGTGAGCCACCACGCCCAGCATTTTTCTGTTTCTCTATTCGTCTCTGTCTCTTTCTCATTCTTTGTTTCTTTCTCTGCCTCTCTTGTCCATGTCTGCATCTTTCTCTAACTCTCTCTCATTCTCTTTTTGTCTCCCTGACTTTCTGTTTATCTTCTTCGATCTCTGCCCTTCCCTCTCCATCTCCAGCTCTCAGTCAACTCTTTCAGCGTCTGCATCTCCCTCCCTCCTGGCACTCCACCCACATCTGCGCCCCAGCCTGGCACCTGCATCTCCTCCATCCAGTCCACCATGTACACCATCTCCTGGAAGACCTTCTGCAGGGCCAGGTTCTGCTCGAGCCGTGTCCGCCGGGCACCCACAAGCCCAGTTAGCAGGGCCCACTGACGCAGGACGCTGTCACGCTGGGCTGCCACCCGCCGGACGTCATAGTAGCCTTCGGCTGCCAATGCCTGGGCCAGCTCTGCCACGCCCTGCACCCGCTCCTCGTAGGCTGCAATGTCCGCCTCAATTGCTTCGTGTTTCTTCATGGCTGCCTCCACTGCAGGCAGCTCATACCCAAAGTTGTCCTGGGGTAGTGCAGTCCAGACACTCACCCATGCTGCCTCAGCAGTCTGCCTATTACCTTGACCCTGTGTGACCCTGGGGACATCCCCCTCCGTTACCATGGCAACCAGCCCTGCACTCCCTAGTTATCCTGGAGACCAGCCCCAACCTCCTGTTATCCAGGTAACCTGGAGACCAGCCTCACCCTCCATTGTTACCTTGGAAACAAGCCCCGCCCTCCCATTACCCGGGAGACCAGCTCCACCCTTCCCAGTTACTCTGGAGACCAACCTTCCCCTCCCCTGTTTCCCTGGACACAAGCCCATCTTCCACGGTTACCCTGGAGACCAGCCCCATCCTCCCCTGTTGCCCTGGAGACTAGTACCACCCTGCAGAGTTACCCTGGAGACCAACCTCACCCTCCCCTGTTGCCCTGGAGACCAGCCCATCTTCCAAAGTTCCCCTAGAAACCAGACCCACCCTCCCCATTGCTCTAGAGACCAACTCCACACTCCCCTGTTTCTCAGGAGACCAGCCCCGCACTCTTCAGTTACCCTGGAAACAAGTCCCACTCTCCTGTTACATCTCTAACCTTAAACTTGTTACCCAGGAAAGAGGCCCATGCTTTCCCTGTCCTGGAGCCGAGGGACCAGGTTTACCTGACTCTGTCACTTAGGAAACCAATTCTATCCTCCTGAGTTACCCTAGATACCAGATACAACCTCCCTTGTCACTTAAGAATCTAGCGAAACACTCCCCCTATTTCTGAAGACACAAATTCTGCCCTCTCCAGTTACCCTGGGGACCAGCCTCACTCTCCCAATCAACCACTTAGAAGACCAAGTCTCCCTTTCCCTCATTTTTTTTTATGGAATCTTGCTCTGTTGCCCAGGCTGGAGTGCAGTGGCTCGATCTGGGCTCCCTGCAACCTCTGCCTCCCAGGTTCAAGTGATTCTCCTGCCTCAGCCTCCTGAGTAGCTGGGATTACAGGTTTGTGCCACCATGTCCAGCTAATATTTATATTTTTAGTAGAGACAGTGTTTCACCATGTTGGTTAGGCTGGTCTCAAACTCCTGACCTTGTGATCTGCCCGCCTTGGCCTCCCAAAGTGCTGGGATTACAGGTGTGAGCCACTAGGCCCGGCTCCCATCCTCATTCGTCACCAGGAGACTAATCCAACTCTTCCCTGTTGCCTAGGACATCAAGTCTCCCTCTGGTCCTGGGACCATTAGCCCCGCCCTCCCTCCCTTCCCCCACCCCCAGAGCCAAGCCCTACACCATGTACCTGGGAGACCAGACGCTGGTTCTCATTCAGCCAGCTCTCCCTCATAGCCACCTTGTGGTCAAACCTCTGTGCCAGTAGTTCCAGCTTCTCCTGCCGAATCAGCTCAGCCCGTAGGGCAGCCTCTCGCTCATGCTCAGCCTTCTCCAGCTCACCCCATGCCTGCAGGAAATGAGAGGAGGCAGTCAGACTCTGGCAGCTCCCTGCCGTTTAATGGTCTTGACTTTGTCTGAGGATACTCATAGCATTTATGGCAACTTCATGCAAATTGGAAAAAGCGTTGCTTCCTTATGACACTTGACTGCTGAAAAACTGTCAGAATGAATATCTAATCCATCATGCCCACTCTATGAATGACTCCCTTGAGCAGTGCACAACCTATACCACTCCACAGTGCAATTCCACCTCTCCCCTGGATCCCCGGCCTCACCTTGTCAATATCCCAGATGCCACAGCCCTCCCGAGGCACAAAGAGACGACGGTTGCAGGCACGAAGTTTGCTCTGGATGCTGAAGAGCAGCACCTCCAGGTTTCCCTTCTCCTGGAACCTGAAGGGGCATGAGCTCAGGAGCCCTGCCATCGTGCCATCCCTGCCCACCCTCCCTCCAGAGCTGGGCCTCACTTGACAGGCTTCTCCAGCGTGCAATAGGCCGTGAAAGCCTGGAGCTGCTGCTGCACCCCACTTAAAGAGTTGGCAAATTTCTGGTTGCTGATGAGGCCCACGGTCCGGTGGATCCAGGCCAGCAGCTCGGCCGCCAGCTCCTCATAGCGATCTATGATCTTCCCCACCTCCAACACCTGGTCCAGGACCTGATGCAGCAGAGGACGGCGGGGGGACGCAGGTCAGCCTCACCCCACCCAGGCCTGCCACCAGCTGCCAGCTTCCCACTCACCCACTCCTTGGCTCCTTATACCTTCCCAATACGCTTCCCCTCCACAGCCAGAGCCTTCATCTTGGAGAAATAGTGGTAGAAAGAGACCACGTAAGTGATGATGGACTTCTCATCTGGGGCCTCCATGTTCACATCTGGAAGGAAGGGGAGTCAGGGAACAAGACAGCGGGCACTTTGACGGGGCACTTGAAGGTATTGGGTGGAGGGATGGATGAGCCACTCTCACTAGCTGTGTGACCTTGGGCAAGATAATTAATCCTCTGTTCCTCAGGTTTTGTATCCGAGAAACAGAAATCTACCTCCTGGGATTAAATAGTGCCTCACCTGACATATAAACCACTGCAGAGAAATAAGCTATACTGTTTTTTCGGTTTTTTTTTTTTTTTTTTTTTTTTTGGAAATGGAGTTTTGAGGCTGAGTGGGGAAAAAAGAAAACGAAATGGAGTTTTGCTCTTGTTGCCCAGGCTGGAGTGCAATGGCACAGTCTCACCTCACTGTAACCTCCACCTCCTGGGTTCAAGCAATTTTCCTGCCTCAGCTTCCCAAGTAGCTGGGGTTACAAGCGTGCAACACCACGCCTGGATAATTTTGTATTTTTAGTAAAGATGAGGATTCACCATGTTGGTCAGGCTGGGCTCAAACTCCTGACCTCATGTGATCTGCCCACCTCAACCTCTCAATTAGCCAGGTGTGGTGATGGGCGCCAGTGGTCCCAGATACTTGGGAGACTGAAATGGAAGAATTGCTTGAACCTGGGAGGCAGAGGTTGCAGTTAGCTGAGATAGCGCCACTCCACTCCAGTCTTGGTGACAGAGCCAGATTCTGTCTCAAAAGATAAATAAATAAAAAATAGGTTGGGTGCAGTGGCTCACGTGTGTAATCCCAGCACTTTGGGAGGCTGAGGTGGGTGGATCACCTGAGGTGGGGAGTCCGACACCAGCCTGGCCAACATGGAGGAAACCCGTCTCTACTAAAAATACAAAAATATATATTTTTAACCTCTCAATTAGCCAGTTGTGGTGGCACATGCCTGTAATCCCAGCTACTCAGGAGGCTGAGGCAGGAGAATCTCTTGAACCTGGGAGGCAGAGGTTGCGGTGAGCCAAGATTGCTCCACTGCACTCCAGCCTGGGCGACAAGAGGGAAACTCTGTCTCAAAAAAATAATAATGAATCAGGGTTGATAAATTCTCTGTAATCAGGTCAGTGTGAAGATAAAACTGAACAGCTCTGGTGACGTTCCCAGCCCCATGCTTGGCACACAGTGGATGCTCAGAGGAAGGGAGCAGCTTTTGTTAGGGATGGGAGATGGTGTCAGGGCTGATCCTGGATTGGGGCTGAGGCTGAAGTCAGGGACAGCGTTGGGGATAGACTGGAAATGGAAAAGCAGTTGAGGATGAGGATGGAGTTGTGGGAGAGATAGACATGGGGATGGGCTAGGGTGAAATGGGGCTGGAAGAGGGATTAGGGTGGGGATAGGAACGGAGCTAGAGCTGAAGATGTGGAGGGGATGGGGACACGTGATGATGGCATTGGCAGGGATGGGGATGGGGATGGGGTTGGAGATGCTATTGGGTTTGGGGCTGGGGTAGGGGAGTGGGAGTTGGCTTAGGGGAGATGGTTGAAAGCAGGGTTGGGGGGGAGTTGGGCATGGGAGGAAACTGAGAGTGGGGAACAGGAGGGGTTACACTGGGACGGGGTTGGGGATGAGAAAAGAAGTGGTGTGAGGATGGGACTTGGGAGGGATTGCACATGAGGAAGGGAGGCAGAAGAGGAGGAGGCTGGGGAGAGGGTTGGGATTTGGAGAGACCTCAGTATTTGGGATGGCGCTAAGCTGGGAGGGAGTGGAGTCTGACACGGCATTAAGGTTGGGTGTCCCCCAAGAGGAAGTCTGGTCTGGGCCCACTCAGGGCTCACCTTCAGGATCCAGCAGCCGCGCCAGCCCCAGGTGCTGCTCAGCTGTGCGGAAGGCTCTCTGCAGGTTGTAGTTGGCGTTGGACTTGGTGAGTTTGCTGAAGTCCACGAGATCGGGCCTGGGCAGGGGCACAGAGCAGGCAGGCAGCAGGCAGGCTCCAGAGCCGTGGGCAAGCAGGGAAGAAGCCACCCTTGTCTGAGCGCCACCCAAGGCGAGAGGCAGAAGGGCTCTAGCCAAGGGCAACGCATGTGTGCTGTGCAGCATTTAGCTGTGATGTCAGTGTGATGGACACGGGCATGTCTCCGTGGGTTCCCAGGAATGTGTGTGTGCATGTGCATCTCCTGTGTGCACAGACGTATGGGTAGACCGGCGTGTGTGTGCTTGGAAGAGAGGAGCTCACATGGTGCCTGCCTGCCTGTGTGTCTCTGTGAAATCATGTGACAATATGGGTGTGTACTGCCCTTATGTGTGTTGTGTGAGGACACATGTCCTTTTTTTCTTTTCTTTATTTTTGAGATGGAGTCTCACTCTGTTGCCCAGGCTGGGGTGAGGCGGCATAATCTCAGGTCACTGCAACCTCTGCCTCCTGGGTTCAAGTGATTCTCGTACCTCAGCCTCCCAAGTAGATGGGATTATAGGCATGTGCCACCACACCCTGCTGATTTTTGTATTTTTAGTAGAGATGGGGTTTTACTATATTGGCCAGGCTGATTTTGAACTCGTAACCTCAAGTGATTCACCTGCCTAGGCCTCCCAAAGTGCTGGGATTACGGTTGTGAGCCACCGCGCCTGGCCAGGACACATATGTTTACTTTGGGAATACCTATGTAGTGTTATGCATTGGTTAGAAGTGTGAGGACCAGGCCAGGAGAGGCGGCTCACGCCCATAGTCCCAGCACTTCGGGAGGCTCAGGCGGGCAGATCACCTGAGGTTGGGAGTTTCAGACCAACCTGGCCAACATGGTGAAATCCTATCTCTACTAAAAATACAAAATTAGCTGGGTGTGGTGGTGCACACCTGTAATCCCAGCTACCTGGGAGGCTGAGGCAGGATAATCGCTTGAACCCAGGTGGCAGAGGTTGTGGTGACCTGAGATCACGCCATTGCACTCCAGCCTGGGCAACAAGAGCAAAACTCCATCTCAAAAAGAAGAAGAAGTGTGAGGACCAGAGCCAGCTCATCAAAGCTCGAGCCCCAGCTTGGTCACATCCTGCTTGTGTCACTCCGGGCGAGCTCCTTCATTTCTCTGTGCTTTGGTTTCCTCTAAAATGGGGATAATAATAGCACCTGCGGGCCAGGCGTGGTGGCTCACGCCTGTAATCCCAGCACTGTGGGAGGCTAAGGCAGGCGGGTCCCTGGAGGTCAGGAGTTTGAGACCAGCCTGGCCAATATGGTGAAACCGCATTGCTACTAAACATACAAAATTAGCCAGGTGTGGTGGCACATGCCTGTCATCCCAGCTACTTGGGAGGCTGAGACTAGAGAATCTCCTGAACCTGGGAGGCGGAGGTTGTAGTGAGTGGAGATTGCGCCACTGCACTCTAGCCTGGGCGACCAAGTGAGACTCCATCTCAAAACAAAAATTAATAGCCTGGGAGTGGTGTCTCATGCTTGTAATCCCAGCATTTTGAGAGGCCAAGGCAAGTGAATCACCTGGGGCCAGGAGTTCAAGACCAGCCTGGCCAACATGGTGAAACCCATCTCTACTAAAAATAAAAAAAATAAAATAAAATAAAAAATTAGCCAGGCTTGGTGGCACATGTCTGTAATCCCAGCTACTCAGGAGGCTGAGGCAGGAGAATCACCTGAACCCGGGAGGAGGAGGTTGCAGTGAGCTGAGATTGTGCCATTGCACTACAGCCTGGGTGACAGAGTGAGACGCCCTCTCTAGATAGATAGATAGATAGATAATAGCACCAGCCCATAGGTGGACTGGACACATTCAGTGGGTACATTGACTATTGAATGTTTTAGTGGGAAGCACTTAGGACCGTGCCTGGTGCATGGAATACACTGAGCGAATGTCACCTAGTGTGTGACCCTGGTGCAGCTTGTGAGTTTGTGTGCATGGAGGTGGGTCTGGGTCTCCCCATGTGCGTACGAGCGTGTGTAGCTGTGAGAGGCAGGGGTTCTGAGTGGACAGGTGTCCACAGCAGAACAAGCTGGGTTCTGGCTTCTGCTACATTATAACAAGCGCCTTCCGGCCTCTGGGCCTCAGTTTCCCCAATATGTCATGTGAGCGATATTAATGTGGGTATAATTTGAGTGGGTGTCTGACCCTCAGCCATTTCAATGGCAGGCCCCAAGGTATGAATCTGTGGGTATGCAGGGAGCCAGGGACGGGAACTCTCGGGGCTCACTTCCAGAAAGCATTTTCTTTTCTTTTTCATGTTTGTATTTTTGAGACAGACTCTCACTCTGTTGCCCAGCCTGGAGTGCAGTAGCATGATCTCAGATCACTGCAACCTCTACCTCCTACGTTCAAGCGATTCTCCTGCCTCAGCCTCCCCAGTAGCTGGGATTACAGGTGTGCACCACCATGCCCCCACCATGTCCTGCTAATTTATTTGTTATTTATTTTTATTTTTTAGTAGAGATGGGGTTTGACCATGTTGGTCAGGCTGGTCTCGAACTCCCAACCTCAGGTGATCTGTCCACCTCCACCTTCCAAAGTGCTGGGATTACAAACGTGAGCCACCGACCCCGGCCCCAGAAAGCATTTTCTGATAGGAGGAGGTGCTGGGCACACAGCAGCATGGACAGTGATGGGGAGAGAGCTCTCTGCCATGGGGACAGGCTGTGCACGTGCCTGGGTATCTGTGTGTGCGCACAGCTGTGTGAGGGTATGCACAGGGTATGCAGCCTGGGCAGGAGCCTTTGTGGGTGTGTGTTCCTGCGTGTAAATGTGCAGGGCATATGAGTGAAGGGAAAGAAAAGTGTATGTGTGTGTAGCGCTGAAGGGATGGGTCTTTGTGCCTGTGTGCCATCTACACAGGTACATGTACAGGTGCGCAGCTGTGGGGACGTGGTGCCCAGACCACGTGGTACCTGTGCCGGTGAATGAGGGCATTGAAGGCCAATCCGTCCCGCCAGCTGGTGGTGAAATTCTGGATGTTTACCTCAGGGTAGCTGGAAGTGTGAAGGGAGAAACAGAGGCAGAGATGGGGAGAGTCAGGATGGAAGAGGGAGGGAAAAAGGCAGAGGGAGATCGAATGATAGGAAAGGAGTGCAGTGGCATGATCGTAGCTCACTGCAGCCTTGAACTCCTGGACTCAAATGATCCTCCCATCTAGCCTCCTGAGAGGCTAGGACTACAGGCATGCGCCACCACACCTGGCTGACTAAAAACAAAAAGCTTTTTGTAGAGATGGGGTCTTGCTATGTTGCCCAGGCTGGTCTCAAATCCCTAGCCTCAAGTTATCCTCCCACCTCATTCTTCCAAAGTGACAGGCATGAGACACTGTGCCCAGTGAGGCCAAGAGGTATACATTTGAAACTGGGTGGGGTGCAGTGGTCTCAGCTACTTGGGAGGCTGAGGAGGGAGGATCACTGGAACCTAGGTCGAGGTTGCAGTGAGTTATGATCGTGCCACTGCACTCCAGCTTGGGTGACAGAGTGAGACCCTGTGTCTAAGTAAACAAATAAACTTGAACCTGGCCTTCCAGCATGTTAGGAAAGATGATTTGTCAAGGCTGGAGAAGTAGACATATTTTATTTATCAGTTGGTTAGCTTCAGATGTTACATTTGGACCCTGAGGACACGGGATGCCCCTTGAGCTCTTGTCTGGGAAGGAACTGCAGAGGTTAGGGGACCACTTGCCTAAGCTCCTGAGGAAGGTGGCGGGGGATGCTTACCCGGCTGTCTTCATCTGACACCACAAGAGCAGAGCATCCTTGGCTGAGCGCGTCTCCCTGTTGTCCTCAGTCTCAATTTTGATGACTTGAATCTGTGAAGATACAAAAAAATTGGCTACCGGAGCCTGGAGAGCTTGAGGCTTGGAGACGCCCCCGACTCCCCACCCCACTCACCATCTGCTACTAGAGAGGGTGGCAGGTGACGGGAGTGTGAGGATAAGTTCTGGAGTGGGCCAGGATAGCCACAATTAGCAGAGCAGTTGGGACTCAGGTCTCAAAGGAAACCACCAAACAGCATCTGGGCACCTTCCTTGTCTGAGATACCGCCCTCTCCTGCCTAGGATAGAGCAGTGGCCCTCGTGCTGACCTCCCCACTCCTGCATCCACAGTCTGTTCCCCACATGACAGACAGAGGGACCCTGTGAACATTCAAATCGGATTCTTTCTCCCCTTTCCAACACCCTCTGTAGCTCTGTTTCACTGGAAGTAAAAGAAGTCCCCATCATGACCTCATCTTCAACAGCTCACTCCATTCCACACCTGCTGGCCTCTTCCCTGAATCACCAGCATCTTCCGTCCTTGCTGCTTTAGCACTGGCTGTTCCCTCTGCCTGGAACAGCCTTTTCTCAGGTCCCCACATGGCTCCAGCCTCCCTCAGGTCTTTACTCAAATGTGACCTTCGTGAGGCCTTCACTGACCACTTCAGATCTCATCACACACCCGAATTTCACATCCCCTTCCCTGTTGCCACCACCTATACGTTTTATCTTTTCCTCAGATTTCCCCACTAAAATGTGAAAGCTCCAGGACCACAGGGATGTTTACCCGCTTTGAGTGCCGCTGTATCTCAGTAGTGTTTGATAAAGTTCAGAATGGCCCAGAATCTAGAGTGGATTCTAGAGCCTATGGTGGGTATCTGAGACTTGGGTCCTGGACTCGAGAACTGGGTTTGCCATGTGGGTTCCAAGGAGAGAACCAAGACCCTTCCAAGGAGATCCCAGCACCTACTGCAGGGATCCAGCCGCCAGCAGTGATCTCCCACTCCCATGATCTCATTCCTCAATTTTGTGCTGACAGTGTCCATTCCTGTCTCCAGTGTCTCCTCGTCCCCTGAGCTCCATCCCCAAGACCCAGTGAACTCCAAGATGTCCCCCAACTCCAATGTCCTGGACCCATAACCACTAGGCCCATCTCAAACTGGCCTCAGGGTGTTCCTCAAACCTGCGCTTTCTCCCTGTCCCTGTCTCAGGACAGCCCCATCATCCGCGAGTCCCCAGGTCAGAGCTCTGTCTTCCCTGGACACCCTCTCCCTCTCCCCTCCCCTAAGGGCTGTCCACTCCACTCCCTGACTGTCTTCCCACCTGCCGCCTTTTGCCTCGCCACAGTCCCAACCTGCTCCAACTCCATCCTCCTTCCTGGGCTCTCAGCTCCCAATGTTGGTGAACACCTTCAACCCAGAGGGATCTTTCTTTTTTGTTTGTTTGAGACGGAGTTTTGCTTTATTGCCCAGGCTGGAGTGCAGTGGTGTGGTCTTAGCTCACATGCTCACACTCTCCTGCCTCAGCCTCCTGAGTAGCTGGGATTATAGGCATGCACCACGAAGGCCAGTTAATTTCTATATTTGTCGTAGAGACAGAGTTTCACCATGTCGGCCAGGCTGGTCTCAAACTCCTAAACTCAGGTGATCCTCTCACCTCAACCTCCCAAAGTGCTGGGATTACAGCCATGAGCCACTGCGCCCAGCCATAGGGATCTTTTTTAACTTGTATGCAACTCCCCTTGATAAAAATGTTGCAACCTCTCCCATCTCAACCTCCCAAAGTGCTGGGATTACAGCCATGAGCCACTGCGCCCAGCCAAAGGGATCTTTCTTAACTTGTATGCAACTCCCCTTGATAAAATGTTGCAACCTCTCCCATCTCAGAAAGAAAAACATCCAAATTGCTCATCACAGACCACCTGGCCCCTGCCACCCCACGTGCCTCATACCCTTCTGCCCACTGCCTCCCATTCTCTAGCCACACTGCTGTTCCTCCTATACTTCCAACATGCCAAGCTCATTTCCACCTCAGGGCCTTTGCATCTGCTGTGCCTCCTGCTTGGAATGCATTCTCCCTTCATCTTTCTATGTCATTCAGTCATCAGCTTCCCAGACAGTACTTTTCTGACCACATCTAAAATCTCAACACCACCAGCCTGACATTTTATATCCCTATTACTGTTTTATCATAATCTGTTCTTTTCTGCCAAGCTTTTTTTTTTTTTCTTTTTTTTTTTTTTGAGTCAGGGTCTCACTCTGTTGCCCAGGCTGGAATGCAGTGGCACGATCATCGCTCACGGCAGCCTCACACTACTGGGCTCAAGTGATCCTCCGGCCTCAGCCTTCCGAGTAGCTGGGACCACAGGCATGCACCATCATGCCTGGCTGATTTTTAAAATTTTTATTTTTATTTTTATTTATTTTTATTTTTTTGAAAGAAAGAAAAAAAAGGAGTGAAGGAGAGGAAGAAAGAGGAAGAAAAAGGGAGAGAGAACAGGAATGTAGCTTTATTCTAAAAATAGGTATTAATAAAATTTTTAAAGGGTCTCACTATGTTGACCAGGCTGTTCTCAAACTCCTGACCTCAAGTGATCCTCCCACCTGAGCCTCCCAAAGTGCTGGGATTACAGCCCACTTTACCTGGTTCTGCGTAGCTTTTTAAACTTCTTCTCTAACTAGAGCTGGTCCTTTCCCATGCATGTCTTCTTTACAGATTTATGTATTTATTGTCTTCCTCACCCCAATGTAAGCTCCTAAAAGGCAACTGTTTGTCTATTTGTCTCTGTACTGGATCAAGATTGCCTGGATTCGAATTTCAGCTCCAGCACCCAGCTACGTGTGATCTTGGGCATATGACGCCACCTATCTGGGCTTCCATTTCCTCACTGGTGAAATGGGATAATAACTTGTATCTAATTTATGGGGTTGCTGTGTGTACTAAATGTCGAGTGCTCAGAACTGCGTTTGGAACAGGGTCGATACAAAACGATGATTGTGACGGTGGTGACCATGACAATTATTTTTATCATTATTTTCATCCCTACGACCTGGAATAGGGTTCCTGGAGGTACTAGGATGTTATTTGAAGGAATGAATGAATGGGTAAATGGTAGGGACGCCTGTTTTTTGGAGAGATAGTCTCACTCTGGAGTCCAGTGGCACTATCTCTGCTCACTGCAAACTCCACCTCCCGGGTTCAAGCGATTCTCCTGCCTCAGCCTTCTGAGTAGCTGGAATTACAGGCGCCCGCCACCATGCCCCGCTAGTTTTTTTGTATTTTTAGTAGACGGGGTTTCACTCTCTTGGCCAGGATGATCTCGATATCTTGACCTCCTGATCCGTCCGCCTCGGCCTCCCAAAGTGCTGGGATTACAGGCAGGCGCCACCGTGCGCAGCCGGGGAACACCTTTCTAAGTCCCATCCTTGTGGGGCTTGGCAGGGGCCACCCAAGGGTCACCTGGAAGCGCAGGATGATGGTCCAGACCAGCCCCAGCGTCAGCCGGTGATTCCCGTCCACTATGTCATGCGAGCCCACGTTCTCCAGGTGCACGCGCTGCTCCTTCAGAAACTGCAGCGCCTTGTCCACGTTCTCCAGTGAGTGGATCCGCATGCGGCCCCGCGTGGGCCTTGGCTAGGGCGACAGGGGCGTTGGGTGATCGGGGGTTTGGACAGACAAGAGCACGGCGCCCTCGGCCCCGCCCCTTCCAAAGAAGCCCGCCTTCCATGGCCAAGCCCCCTGAGTATCCAGGATCAGGCCGCCCTCCTCCCATTTTATCCAAGACGCAGGACACAATCCTTCTAAAGAAGCCCTGCCCCTTCCCGTAGTCAGACCCTTTCAAGAGTCACATCCCTTCAAGGCTTATTCACATCCCAGGCTCTGCCCCTTCCACGGCGCCCCACTTCCAACCTGACAACCACGCCCCCTTGACAACCACCCCGCCCTCCTAGCCATAGCCACAGCTCTGGTCCTGACGTTGGATCCCTCTCTGGTCCACCCATGTTTTGCCACTAATCCCATGGCCGCCCGGGCGCGGTGGCTCATGCCTGTAATCCCAGCACTTTGGGAGGCCGAGGCAGGTGGATCAATTGAGTCGAGGAGTTCGAGACCAGCCTGGACAACATGGTGAAACACTGTCTCTACCACAAATACGAAAATTAGGGCCGGGCGCGGTGGCTCACGCTGTAATCCCAGCACTTTGAGAGGATGAGGAGGGTGGATTGCGAGGTCAGGAGATCGAGACCATCCTGGCTAACATGGTGAAACCCCGTCTCTACTAAAACAGAAAAAAATTAGCCAGGCGTGGTGGCGCACGCCTGTATTTATAGCTACTCAGAGGAATCGCTGGAACCTGGGAGGCGGAGGTTGCAGTGAGCCGAGATTGCGCCACTGCACACCAGCCTGGCGGCAGAGCGAGACTCGATCTTAAAATAAAATAAAATAAAAAATGAAAAAATTAGCTGGGCGTGGTAGCGCACTCCTGCAACCCCAGCTACTAGGGAGGCAGAGGCAGGAGAATCCTTTGAAGCCGAGAGGCGGAGGCTACAGTTGAGCCGAGATCGCACCACTGCACTCCAGTCTGGATGAGGGAGCAAGACTTCGTCTCAAAAAAAGAAAAAAAAAAATCCTGCGTCACACCCCTCACTGCTTCCTTTTCAGGTCCCTATCTAGGGCCACGCCTATTCCAGTCAAGCTCCGCCCTGCCCCAGTGCTCTTCCCTTGTTCGTAGCTCAATTCCTTCCAACAGCGTTTGTTCCTATTCTTTTTTTGAGTTTTGTTTTTGTTGTTGTTGTTGTCTTTGAGACGGAGTCTCACTCTATCGCCCAGGCTGGAGTGCAGTCGCGCGATCTTGGCTCACTGCAACCTCTGCCTCCTGGATTCAAGCGATTCTCTTGCCTCAGTCTTCCGAGTAGCTGGGACTACAGATGCCCATCACCACATCCAGCTAATGCTTTTTGATTTTTAATTTTTTTTTTTTTTGAGATGGCGTCATGCCACAGCGCTCGAGTTTATTTATTTATTTATTTTTGAGGCAGTGTCTCTGGCGGACGCGGTGGCTCATGCCGGTAATCTCAGCACTTTGGGAGGCTGAGGTTGGAGGACCGCTTTAGTCCAGGAATTTTAGATCAGCCTGGGCAACATAGTGAGGCCACATCTATTAAAAAAAATAATAAGAAGAAAAAAGAGAGAGAGAGAGTCTTGCTTTGTCGCCCAGGCTGGAGAGTAGTGGTGCAATCATGGAACACTGCAGTCTCGACCTCCCGGGCTCAAGCGATCCTTTCACCTCATCCTCCTGGGTACTTGGGACTACAGGCTCGCGCCACCACGCCTGGCTAATTTAAAAAAATAAAATAGAATTTAAAAAATCGTAGAGACGGGGGTGTCATTATGTTGCTCAGGCTGGTCTGAAACTCCTGGGCTCAAGTGTTCCTACCGCCTTGGCCCCGCAAAGGGCTGGGATTACAGGCATGAACCACCGCGCCCAGCTGTCTGTTCCTATTCTATAGCCATGTCTCTCACAAGTCCCTGAGATCCAGGCTTGAGTCCTTTAACAAACCTCTACCCCATAAGAATCCCACGCTTTTAGATGAAATCCCATTCAAGCCGGGAGACACAGCCATAGGTCATACAAGCCACACCCCGGAACTTCGTCTGCGCCCCTAGACACCCAAGACCTAGGTCTCACCCTACCAACGAACACTGCCCGCTAGCCTAGAGCCCCGCACCTTCATCCTCTACCCACTCCCAACCCGCAACACAACTGCCCCCGTTTTATAGCCATACCCTTACTAGCTCATAACCCTGGCCAGACCCTTCTAACAAAGCTCCTACCTTCTCCAATAGCCCCGCCCCTTGCAGTAGAGCCCCGCCCCCTGCTACCGAATCCCCGCCTCACAACCGTAGCTGGCGAGTCATCAGCTTCGGTTTCAGCCAAGCCCCTAGGCTTCCCACGACCGACCGAGTACAGGGACCTCTTACCCATAGGGCCCTTCAAGCACGCTCCATTCTCCCCTGAGCCAGGCCCCTGCTTGCAGATCAGCCCTTCCAAAGAAGCCCAAACCCCAGCCTGAGACCCCAGGGAGGACCCCTGCCCCAGCCCTTCATGAAGGCCCCCTCACCAGCTGCTCCCCAGACAGCACTTCCAGGAGCCTTGTGAGCACGAAGCCGTCCCGGAGGTCCACATAGAGGTCCCCGATGTGGCAGCCCACGCGGGCGAGGTGCGAATTCACCCACTTGGTGAAGGTTTTCTTCTGCACAGCTTCCCGCTCATCTGGAGGACAGGCCCTGATAAGCTCCCAGGCGCTTCCACCTTCATCCCAGCCCTCCGCCAGCCAAGCCTGCTCAGGCCCAGCTCTCTGCAAGAGTCAAGCCTCACAGGTGGATCACTTGAGGTAGGAGTTTGAGACCAGCCTGGCCAACATGGTGAAATCCCATCTCTACTAAAAATACAAAAGTAGCCAGACATGGTGTCGGACGGCCATAATCCCAGCTACTGGGAGGCTGAGGCAGGAGAATTGCTTGAACCAGAGAGGTGGAGACTGCAGTCAGCCAAGATCTTGCCAGTGTACTGTGGCCTGGGTGACAGAGCAAGACTCATCTCAAAAAAAAAAAAAAAAAAAAGAGAGACAGTCGGCCAGGCTCTGTGGCTCACGCCTGTAATCCCAGAACTTTGGGAGGACAAGGCAGGTGGATCACAAGGTCAGGAGTTCGAGACCAGCCTGGCCAATATGGTGAAACCCTGTCTCTACTAAAAATACACACACACAAAAATAGGTGTGGTGGTGCATGCCCGTAATCCCAGCTACTCGGGAGGCTGAGGCAGGAGAATTGCTTGAACCCAGAGGCGGAGGTTGCAGTGAGCCGAGATCACACCACTGCACTCCAGCCTGGGTGACAGAGTGAGACTCAGTAAAAAAAAAAAAAGAGTCCTACCAGCCACGCCTCCTCCTACCTGGGACGCCTTCCTCTACCCTCTGCCACCCACCTGGTGACAACCTTCCTGTCTTTTGAAGTTTTCCTGAGCTGTCACTTGCACAGGAAGCCTTCCCTGCTCATGACCCCCGTTGGCTCTAGTCATTCATTAATTCAATAAATATTTGAATGCACACTCTGTGCCTGTTCAAGGCTCTGTGAATGCAGACAGGGCCCTCACAGAGCTCAGTTCAGTGGGGACACACATAAATACAGCCATGGCCTCAGACTCCCAAAGTGTTGGGGTTATAGGCATGAGCCACAGCACCTGGCCTTAAGGAACTGTCAAACTGTTTTCCAAAGTAGCTGCACCGCAGCCCAGGCGTGGTGGCTCGTGCCTGTCATCCCAGTACTTGGGGAGGCTGAGGAGGGTGGATTGCTGGAGTTCAGCAGTTTGAGACCCTCCTGGGCAACATGGTGAGGACTCTGTCTCTACAAAATATTAGCCAAGCAAGGTGGCATGCACCTGTAGTCCCAGCTACTTGAGTGGCTGAGGCAAGAGGATTGCTTAAGCTCGGGAGATCGAGATTGCAGTGACCTGTGCTCAAGCCACTGCACTCCATCCAGCAAGAGGGACAGAGCCAGACCCTGTCTCAAAAAAAAAAAAAAGAAGAAAAAAGTTGCTGCCCCATCATTTCACCTTCCCACCAGCAATGTGTGAAGGTTCCAAACCCTCGCCAACACTGGCTATTTCCCACCCCCTCCTTTTTTTTTTTCTCTTGAGATTGGGGTCTCACTCTGTTGCCCATGCTGACATACAATGGTGTGACCCTGGCTCATTGCAACCTCTGCCTCCTAGGCTCAGGTGATCCTCCCATCTCAACCTCCCAAGTAGCTGGGACCACCAGAGCATGCCACTAGGCCAGGCTAATTTTTGTATTTGGTGTAGAGATAGGTCTCACTATGTTGCCCAGGCTGGTCCCAAACTCCTGGACTCAATTGATCCACCCACCTCGGCCTCCCACAATGCTGGGATTACAGGTGTGAGCCACCGTGCTTGGTGGTTTCCCCTACTTGTTTTGTTTTACATCAGCCAGCCTAGTGGGTGTGAAGTGTTATCTCACCGTGGTTTCCTTCTGCACTTCCCTGACAGCTAATGATGTTGAGAATCTTTTCATGCTCTTCTCAAACAGTTGCTTATCTTTGGAGAATTGTCTATTCAAATCCTTTGGACATTTTTTAGTAGAGTTACTCATCTTTTTTTTTTTTTGAGTCACAATCTCGCTCTGTTGCCCAGGCTAGAATGCAGTGCCACGATCATGGCTCACTGCAGCCTCAACCTCTCGGGCTTATGCAGTCCTCCCACCTCAGCCTCCTGAGTAGCTGGGCTTACAGGCACATGCCACCATGCCCAGCTGATTTTTTTATTTTTATTTTTGTAGAGACAAGGGTCTCGGGATGTTGCCCAGTCTGGTCTCAACCTTCTTTGCTCAAGCAATCCTCCCACCTCGGCTTCCCAAAGTGCTGAGATTACAAACTCAAGCCACCACACCCAGCCAGTTACATATCTTTCTTTCTTTCTTTCTTTTGAGAAGGAGTCTTGCTCTGTTGCCTAGGCTGGAGTGCAGTGGCCTCAGCTCACTGCAACCTCTGCCTCCCGGGTTCAAGTGATTCTTCTGCCTCAGCCTCCTGAATAGCTGGGATTACAGGTACGTGCCACCCTGCCCAGCTAATTTTTGTATTTTTAGTAGAGATGGGGTTTCACCATGTTGGTCAGGTTGGTCTCAAACTCCTGACTTCGTGATCCGCCTGCATCGGCCTCCCAAAGTGCTGGGATTACAGGTGTGAGCCGCTGTGCCCAGCCATCTTTTTATCATCTGTACTACCTTTGTGACTTCCTAAGAATCTGTAATTATTTCATAATTTAAAGTTTTAAAAAGCCTGGGCACAGTGGCTCACACCTGTAATCCTAGCACTTTAAGAGGCCAAGGCAGGTGGATTGCCTGAGCTCAGGAGTTCGAGACCAGCTAGGCAACTTGCTGAAACCCTGTCTGTACTAAAAATACAAAAAACTAGCACGACATAATGGTACACGCCTGGAATCTCTGCTACTCAAGAGGCTGAGGCACAAGAATCACTTGAACCCAGGAGGAGGAGGTTGCAGTGAACCAAGATCGTGTCACTGCACTCTAGCCTGGGCTACAGGGCAAGACTCTGCCTCCAATAAATAAATAATAAAGTCTAGGTTGGGCATGGTGGCTGACATCTGTAATCCTAGCACTTTGGGAAGCTGAGGTGGGTGGATCACTTGAGGTCAGGAGTTTGAGATCAGCCTAGCCAACATACCAAAAACCCCGTCTCTACTAAAAATACAAAAATTAGCCAGGCATAGTGGTGGGCACCTATAATCCCAGCTACTCGGGAAGCTGAGGCAGAAGAATTGCTTGAACCCAGGAGGCACAGGTTGCCGTGAGTGGAGATGGTGCCACTGCACTCCAGTCTGGGTGACAGAGCGAGACTCCATTTCAAAAAATAAAAAAAAATAATAAATAAGGTTTAAAAAACAAAAAGAAAATTGTTCCCTGGACTTCCTCTTTCTTCCCCTGACTCCCATAAACTGAAAAAGCAGGTCAAGGTCTGAAGAACACAAGATTAAATTAACCTGGAATCTACACTGACCACTCTGAGCTAAGTCTTCCTACCAACTAGGTTGCTCATTTCAAGGTTATCTGGGAGGGAGAAAGAACGTCTCCATTAAGCCACTGTACTGTTACGTCAATTTGTTGGCAGCTTAGCCTGTACTGTTACTGTTAGAATTTCATTACTAAGTAATAGTACTCATATTATTGTTTCCTATTTTTTTTTGAGACAGAATCTCACTCTTTCTCAGGCTGGAGTGCAATGGCATGAGCTTGGCTCACTGCAACCTCTGCCTCCTGGGTTCAAGCGATTCTCCTGCCTCAGCTTCCCAAGTATCTGGGACTAGTAGAGACGGGGTTTCACGGTGTTAGCCAGGATGGTTTCTATCTCCTGACCTCATGATCTGCCCGCCTCAGCCTCCCAAAGTCCTGGGATTACAAGAGTGAGCAACCTCGCCCAGCCAAGTTTCTATTAATTCAGAAATAAAGATGTGTATTTCCAGTCCATTTCCCCTTCAACCATTTGAAATCTCTAAATAATTTTGTAAAATCTGCCTTTTGTAACACTATCAATAGTGGGGTGGAGGGCAGGGGTGATGGGTACAAAATACAGAAAGAATGAGTAAGATCGAGTATTTTATATCGGCACAACAGGGTGATTATATTCAATAATAATTGAATTGAATTTTTGCTCTGTTTTTTGTTTGTTTGTTGGTTTTATACAGGGTCTGCCCCGTATCAAATCCAGGCTGCAGTGCAATGGTGTGAGATCATAGCTCACTGCAACCTCTGCCTCCCAGGCTCAAGCCATCCTTCCACCTCAGCCCTGCAAATAGCTGGGACTACAGGCACGTGGCACTATGCCCGGCTAATTTTTGTATTTTCAGTAGTTGGAGTTTAGCTATATTGCCCAGGCTTTTCTCAAACTCCTGGCCTCAAGCGATCCACCCACCTCAGCCTCCCAAAGTGCTGGGATTACAGACAAGAGCTACTGCGCCTGGTGTAATTGTACATTTTAAAATAACTAAAAGAGTATAATTGGATTGTCTGCAACACAAAAGTATCCCATAAATATATATAACTACTCTGTACCCATTAAAATTTAAAATACAATTTTTTTAGAGTATTGCTTCTTACTCTAGCAGTAGAAAATATACATTTAGGGGCCAGGCACGGTGCCTCAAGCCTGTAATCCCAGCACTTTGGGAGGCCGAGGCGGGCAGATCACGAGGTCAAGAGATCGAGACCATCTTGCCCACCATAGTGAAACCCCATCTCTACTAAAAATATTTTTAAAAAATTAGCTGAGCGTAGTGGTGCGTGCTACCCTGGAGGCTGAGGCAGGAGAATTGCTTGAACCTGGGAGGCGGAGGTTGCAGTGAGCCGAGATCACACCTCTGCACTCCAGTCTGGCGCCTGGAGGCAGAACAAGACTGTCTCAAAAAAAAAAAAAAAAAAAAGAAAGAAAATATACATTTACTTATCTGTATTTTTTTAACTTCAAATTGCACCTAGAACGTGTACCTCAAATTTGAAAGCAAATGTGCAAATATGAAGAGCAAATGCAAAGGAAATACCTTGTTTGTGTGAATGTGGGTTTTGTGCTGTTTAGATAAGCGGAAGCCCTACGTGAGTACCTGAGCATCCGTCGCATCTAAGACAGTGATAGCAGAAACGATGCCAAATTGCGGCTTTGCTCCTCTGCCTTCTAACGGACATG